GGCATGCGCTCTCGCATCTCGTTGGTGATCATCTCCAGCAGATCCTCCGCCTCGTCCTCATTGCGCTCCACGTCCGCATTGCGCGTTACTTGGAAGAAGTGTGCGGATGCGATCTGGGGTGGGAAAAGGGTGCCGGAGGGTGGGGATTTGAGTCACGACGCGCTGCTGTAAAGATAGAGGCAGTGGGGCGGTTGTCGTGTGAAAAGCTGCTTCTAGGACACATCACCAAATTATGGTCCTAAATTGTCTCAATTCATAAATATTTTGGATCCCACTGGACCACTCCTGAAACTGTGCTGTGTTGACATGCTGATTATACAATCATCAACAACATTACACCTTGGTGAGCGTAAGGTGCACTGCACTGCACTCTCACCTCCATGCCGCCGAACAGCGACGAGAGGTTGGCCTTGATGATCTCCTCCACTGAGATGAACGTGTTGCGCTCCTCATTGCTGCCACTGCACACACGCACACATGCACAGGGTGGCAGGAGGGCAGAAAAAGGGCAGGGGGGAAGAGACAGTTGGGCATGAGAGGTTGGCCTTGATGATCTCCTCCACTGAGATGAACGTGTTGCGCTCCTCATTGCTGCCACTGCACGCACACAAACGCACAGAGGAGCATAGAGGTGGAGGAGACGATGATAAAGCAGGCGATTCTCGTGCATGACAATTCCTGAGGAGCATTAATGCTTGTCTTGGTTCATTAACATTTCCCAGCGGCACTAGCCAGAGAATGACACAGCAGGCAGGGAGGGACTCACTCTTCGTTGGGGCGCACGAGTGGGTGCCAGCGGTGGCACGTGTTGGGCACCGACACAATGGCAAACTCGTGATCGTCGTCCACTGGGTCTCTCAACGCCTGCAGGGCACGATTTGAATAAGGAGGGAGATGAAAAGAGGGGCGGGGTTTGAGTGGAGGGGAGCGGGTTGAGCGGAGGGTAAGGGGATCAGTGGAGGAGGGGAGAGGGGATGGGGTTGAGCGGAGGGTAAGGGGATGAGTGTGGGGGAGGGAGTTGCTGGGGGGATGGGGTTCAGCAAAGGGAGGGGGTTGAGTGGAGGGGATGGGTACAGGGAACTTCTAGATGCAGCAGGAAAGGTTTGGACGGGTCGGAAGGCGTACCACAGCAATGCCCAGGGATATGTTACCGAGGAAGGGGAGGGGGGCACGGGGTGACTTTTGAAGTTACTTGACAAGCATCATGTGGCATGGTGGCAGGGAGGGAAGTCGTACCACAGCCATGCCAAGAGACATGTTGCCGATGAAGCGGAGGGGGTGGCCGGGATGGGATGAGGCAACTTGTGAGGTGACTTTTGAGGCCAATTAGAAACCATCAAACGGCAAGGTGGCAGGGGGGGAAGTCGTACCACAGCAATGCCAAGGGACATGTTGCCGATGAAGGGGAAGGGGTGGCCGGGACGGGATGAGGCAACTTGTGAGGTGACTTTTGAGGCCAATTAGAAACCATCAAACGGCAAGGTGGCAGGGAGGGAAGTCGTACCACAGCAATGCCAAGAGACATGTTGCCGATGAAGGGGAAGGGGTGGCCGGGATCCACTGCCAGGGGCGTGATGATTGGCTCCAGCCACGCCCTGTAGTACGCCCGCAGCTGATGGGGGGAAATGGGAGGGAAAGAGGGAAATTGAGGGAAAAAGAAGTGAGGGGGAATCGAGTGAGGGGAATGGAAGTGAGGGGAAATAAACCGAGGGGGAACGGTAGTGAGGGGAGATGAATTGAGGGGGAATGGAGTGAGGGGGAATGAAGTGAGGGAGAATGGAGTGGGGGGGAATGGAGTGAGGGGGAATGGAAGTGAGAGGAAATGAAATGAGGGGGAATGGAGGTGGAGCCAGATGGGTGATAAACCGGTGATGCAGGATTCTGATATGCCTGACTCACCTTTTCCTTGGCAGGAATGTCGAGCTCGTCCCAGTGCACAAGGCTGATGCCATGCTTGCGCAGCGCCGGCAGCAGGTCCTGCTGCAGGCACTGCAGCTGCATCTGCACAAACTGCTCCACCTCCCTGCGCCCCACCACGCCCGTTACCACACGCGCCACAGCAGCCAACACAAACACACGCACCACACGAAACAACATCAACGTCAACGCCAATCCCGAATGCTAGCTATCGTCATTAACTGACACATCTGAAAGGCGGACTTTTCTTCAAGAAGGTGATGGCGTGGTTAGATTGCCGACTTGGCCGAAAGCTTTGAGTGCTGAACGAGATTCGACGTATAAACAACTCGTGTGACCAGATCCCAAGTGTTTTAATCTTGACGCAAGAACGTTCACGCTGGTCAACGTTGCGCATCTTCCGCACGCACAAGCTCAACGGCGGAGCACAGCGCAACCATGTCGAGCGTCTGGCGCTGTTCTCTAAGCGTTGAATTCATCGCAACTGAGTATGGTTGAAATTCCCCACTGCATTTCTCCGCTGACAACGAATGACGCGTTTCTCACCTGGCGACGATTTTCAGCGACTGGCTGGGCGTCCAGAGCCAGCTGCTGCGGTGGCCGATGAGGTTCGCCATACCCGCCGCCTGCTGCCGCTTCAGCGCGCCCACGCGCTTGCAGAAAAACTCGTCCAGATTGCGCGCCGTGATCGCCAGGAATCGAAGGCGCTGGCGGAGGATAAGAAGATAAGATACGAAACATCGGGAATAATTTTAGGGGTATGACTCGTCCAGATTGACCGCTGCGATTGCCATAAACAAACGGCACTGGGGCTGGGAAACCGACGAAAATTAAACAGGTGGAGAAGCAGCCAGGGAGGCAGCCCGAATGCGGTCCGAGTACAGTAATATTCAGGAGCCATAATGCTCAAGCTGTGCTCGCCTAGCTGGCCCAACGGCAAAAGTAGAAGAAGAAAAGAGTTACCTCCATAAGCGGCGTCCGCTTGTCCAGCGCCTGGTAGAGCACGCGCCAGTTGAACGCCAACCAGCTGCAACACGGAGGACAGAAACGCAGGGAGAAGATACTGAGGCTCAGAAAGACAACAGGGAGACACCCTTGAAACGCAGGAAAGAAACGAGTAGGCTTACAGTGGAGACCGACTATCAGAAATTTGTCAACGTCACATGACGACGGAGGAAGAGAGCACACAGTGAGGACATTGCTTTTTCGTTACCAAGCCTATCGGCAGCGAGCGCGCACCTTAGCTCTTTGTTGTACACCGCATCAGCAGACACGAGCGCGTCAATACTCAACCCCGAAACGTCCTTCATCAAACCCTCCTGCTCCCACGGCGGCATAAGGCCCTCCGCCAAGCTCTCCATGGCTTTCATTCGGTGCTCCCAGCTCCCCACGCCCGCCTCCTCCATCTCTGTCATATCCGTCGCCGTCGCGCTTCCGTCTTCCACTTCCTCCACGTCTGACAGGTACTCGACGGCCACATGGTCCCCTGCGTTGACTGACGTTGACAGAGCTCCGTTAACGAGATCGTCAGCCCTGATGTTATCCGAATCCGACGATTCCTCCAGGTCAGCCTCGAAGGATTCTTCGACGAAAGAGACGGACGGGTCGGGAACGGCTGGCGCGCCGATTCGCGGATCCCACGGGCCGAACTCGCACGCTGGTGGGTTAGAGCTGTTTGAACCGATGCCATTCGCTCGGATGCTCTGTGCACGGCCTCGGTTCGACGAATCTGACGCTCCTGAATACCGCTTCGCGGAGGAAGAAACAACGACGGGAACTTTCGGTGTGAGCCGGAGTGGTTGCGTGGAGTTGGAGGAGAATAGTCTGGAGGTGCCGCATGATTGAGTCAAGCTTAGCGACGAGACGCCTGACGCCGTGGGACAAGAGTGAAGAGCCTCCATAATAGGAAGAACGAGTGGTCAGATCTAGGAAACAGGTGCGTCAAAACGCTTGTTTGACGACGCGGCGAGAATACTAACGAAGGAGCAAGTTTCCCAAATCTAAACAAAAACAGTCTGATGGAAGCAGAGTGGAGGTTGAAGGGAGGCAGGAAGTTCAGATTTGTGCTTGCGTGCTTGGCTGAACAACAGGCCTGTTCTGAGAACTCGAGGTTGGTGAGTGGCGGCTGGCTTGTCTTCTGGCGGCAAATGCCAGATGCAAAAAGTGAGAATGGGAGATGCAGAAAGCAAGCTGGCTGGGTTGGGAGGTCCCAGATTCCACTAAGGCAGCTGCACCAGCAGGGTGGAGGGGTCCCTTGAAGTTGGGACAGACAGAATTCGGTGGCTAGAAACGAGTTGCAAAATGAGGCTGTAAGTGGGCTTGAGCAGGGCTTTTACGCACCGAATGACAGCCTTTGGGAATGACGCGAGGCGCGACGTAAGCTGGGCCAGGTTCGTCTCCGTTTTCGAGCCACTTTCTGGCTCGGGAAAGTGCTTCGGGGCCCTCGATATCTCCTGCTTTAGCAGCTTCTGCCGAGTCAAAATCAGCCAGTGCCACCTGGCCTGTCTGCCAGCGCATCAGGGGAGAAATCTGGCCGCCGCCAATCTGAAAGGGGAGACACGCGGCGCGTTTTTGAGGAGGTCTATTCGCCGTGTAAACGACTTGATTTGTGGCAGATCTGCGTGTCGCTCCGTCACCCACATGCCTGAAACCCTCAACCCGCCGCCAAGGCTGGGAGCCGATTGGTGCACCCGACGACAGGTCAGCAAGGGTCACATGCCCCGAATGTTCCAGCCGAAACCAGACCAAAAATCTGGGAGCCCCCACAAGGAATTGCTCGAATCGAAACCAGCACAGGCTCGGACGGTACGCAACTTGTCACAGCAATTTGGGGACATGTCTCGTCCAATCAGTAAAGGGAACCGAGTACCGTAGCGTAGCACACAGAAACGCAATGTAACGTATAATACCAACTAGAACCGCTTGTTGATTGGGCTTTTAGATTTAACCGCGTGTGCTCGCTGTTCCTCTGGTGGTCTCATCTTAATGGGCATTTATCTTAGCGGTAACAATCTTGGAGCTCGCATGTACGCGAGGTAAGCTACGTGTCCAAATCGTAACAGAGATGTCTTCTCATCGCCACCATGGTAACCAGGATTGCCGAGATGGTCAGCATTATTGCCTGGATGGTAATGAACAGTGCATCCGGAAATCCTGGCTGGTAACTTCACGTTCCAACCAAACTGTACACCGTACAAGTCAGATTTGAGTCAGCAAAAAGAAACTGACTGTCACGCACAAACACACAGAATGAGCAGCACAATATAAATTTTTGCAAATGACAGATAGTAAAATTTGCATAAGTTTTAAGACCTTTTATTAATATAATGCACCATGCATTCAAGGCTCAATATAAACTGTATTAACCGATGATTTCATCCCAGTTTTATAATGATCAGGTTACATCTGTTTTTCCTGAGTGTCCATAAGATGCTTGCTGTAATAGTGATAGTTAAATATATCGAATACGTGCATGTAACATTTTGCATTTGTAAGCGTTCGTATACTAAAGAGAATTGCGCATTCTGTGGGTGTGCACGTGGACAGTCAGTTTCTTTTTGCTGAGTCACACCTGACTTGTTCGGTGAACAGTTTGGTTGGAACGCGAAGTTACCAGCCGGGATTTCCGGATGCACTGTTCATTACCATTCAGGCAATAATGCTGACCATCTCGGCAATCCTGGTTACCATGGTGGCGATGAGAAGACATCTCTGTTACGATTTGGACGCGTAGCTTACTTCGCGTGCGATCGAGCTCCAAGAGTGTTACCGCTAAGATAAATGCCTCATCTCAATTGTTGAGTTTCCAGCAGAAATGGTTGGTTACGGTTTTGAGGAAAAGAACCAACTCTTACAGCACAGTTTGGCAAACCATCTTTTGAAAAATCTCAGCAAAATACGTCTCCTGATCACAGAGGGCTGGTAAAACAGCTGAAAGCAGCTTTTTTGTGGCCATTAGTTTCTTCTGCTGCTGCGCGTCACGACATGACCCCTCTTTTTAGCGCTCCACAGAAACCGAGTGCCTGCAGCACACTTCATCATCTATCATCTGAATGCTCTGAGTTTACAAGAGCAGCAGGTCCTACCAGCAGAAATTCTGCATGCTTTCAAAAGAGTCCCGATGTGACGTGTCGATTTACACTCGTCCGCGTGAAGGCCAATTCTGCGGTTGGAACTCCGCGAAAAGTGAAGAGCGGCCTCACGTGGAGTGATCGAGTGGTAACGGCCCGAGGAGATCGAACTGGTTTTAACGTGCAGCGGGGTCAGGTTAAGGGGTTTCGAGGAAGATGCTGTGCAAAGCCTGCGAAAGGAGTGAGTCGCAATAAAGATGCCACGTTCTTTGAAGAATTAGCCGTTATGAAGCTTTAGGACGTCGCTTTCCGTTTTTCTCATCTTCGCTCGTAAACCCTGTATTCTGTCACCGATCGCGTCCGATTTGTTATGCATAACGTTGTTTATTCATACTTCACACAGCAGGTTTCCCGGCAAATCGGTTGGACTAAGTATCGCCACGTGGATCACACCGACTGGAATGCTGACAATGCGTATGACACGGAGGCGATCGACGTGGAGGGGGATGCGAGGGAGGGCCCAGGGTTGGGCGAAGAGCGAATGCTGCAGCGACTGGTGGAGAGGTGAGGCGCCGCCACGGGTGAGGACGCCAGGAGCGAGGGTGTCAGGAATGCGGAAGGAGGGGATTTTATACTATCAGTAATTCTTAAGAATTTCTCTCCCCCGTTTCCCGCTTCTCGGGCCCCCATCCTCCTTCCCTCACTCTCCCTTTACTCCCCAACCCCTCCAACCCCCCCCCATCCCCTATGCCAGGCTGGAAAGCACTCCCCTGACCGCCTCCCCGCGCCACGTGTCCAGGGCAGTGCGCAGCGCGCCTCTCCCCCCGCCGCGTGGCGCTGGCAGCGCGGCTGCTCGCCAGCAGAGGCAGCTGGCGCAGGGCGCTGCTGCTCGTGCACTGGGCCGCTCGCCGCGACCAATCACGTGTTGACAGGTTAGACTAATGCCAGTGGTGCCAGTCAAGCGGCAGTTCGCCTCAGATTTCCTGCAGCACTCAACCAGATTCCTTGGGCGTGTCTCCCTGGTCGGGTCCTCCTGACCTTGCTTTGTTGCTCGTTCCTGTTCAGCCCTTGCCTCCCACTAGACCCCCTCACGCACATCTCGTTTAATTCTGGTCTCTTGTTTCTTGACTATTCTCTTCTCCCCTGTATTGCTCCCTACTGCAGGAAGGTGCTCACCTCGCTCATTGCTGCACTGGGCTGGCGCTACCCCGATGCTGTGCTTCAAGCCATGCGGTTGATGATGGTAGGTGCTGTGCGGTGATGTGCGGTACTTCCCGGTGCTCTATGGTGCTTTACGGTGTTACTCTGTGTTATGTTCTTTGTCCTCTGCTTCGCCCGTGCGTCGCTCCATCGCTCCCATTATCACTTTTTTACTCCCTGTTTCGCCCACCCCTCCTTGACACACCCGTTTTTCGTTTCCATCATCGCCACTTCTTGACCCTCTTGCTCCCCTACTCTCCCACGCCTTGCTCATCCATGCTGTATCGCCCACTGCCCCTTCTCCCTCCCTGCTCTCCACCAGTCGCAGCCCTCCACGTGGCCCGACCTCCCAGCCTACAGAGCAGCAGCAGTGGCGTTGGGAAGGGCGGGGTACCTTCAGGAGTTGCTGCAGGTGGGTGGGGAGAGGATGGGCTCGGAGAAAGGAGAACTGTTCCAGTCTTTTAAACCTGACAACTGAAACCCTCTAGCTATGTCTTTACCTGATTTTTGTCCAGCCTTCAATGCTTCCTGGTCCTTTCTTCCTCCCTTCTCTTCCAAAGAAGGCCGGAACTCTAATCTGGAGCCGCATTCTCCCGTCCCTCTCTTCCCCCTCGCCCCCGTGTGAGGAGCAGAGCAGCTGATGCAGGAGCTCAGGGAGGGGCCCACCCGCACCAACCGCACTGCACTGCTGGAAACAGATGCCAGAGAAGGTGCTGGCAGCGGCGCTGGTGCTGATGCTGGTGCTGGTGCTGATGCTGGTGCTGATGCTGGTGCTGATGCTGGTGCTGATGCTGGTGCTGATGCTGGTGCTGATGCTGGTGCTGATGCTGGTGCTGATGCTGGTGCTGATGCTGGTGCTGATGCTGGTGCTGATGCTGGTGCTGATGCTGGTGCTGATGCTGGTGCTGATGCTGGTGCTGATGCTGGTGCTGATGCTGGTGCTGATGCTGGTGCTGATGCTGGTGCTGATGCTGGTGCTGATGCTGGTGCTGATGCTGGTGCTGATGCTGGTGCTGATGCTGGTGCTGCCAGTGTGGCTAGCAGCACAAGCAGCAGTGGCTCCAAGTCGGGTGCAGCGGGCAGCAGCTGGCTGGCGCCAGACGTGGTGGTGTACAATGCTGTGAGTGCTGCTCTGCTGCCCCTCCTAAGCCCCTCTTGAGCCCTGAACCCACTCCCTTACCCACTGCCCTTAGTACTGAATTTGATCTCGTTTTGCCGCGCACCTCGGTGTGATTGCCGTCCGAGAAAGCTCCAAAGTCTGTGCGTCCTCCTCAGCCTTTCCCCATCCTCTCTTTTCTCCGCCTCTCCCCATGCCCTCACAGATCCTGAATGCATGTGGAGCAAAGCGGCAGTGGAAGGGCGTGCAGTGGGTGCTGCAGCAGATGCGCAGCGAGGGGGTAGCTTTCAATGCGGCCACCTCTCGCTCCTGAGGAAGCCATAAGTGGGCCATCCAAGCCCTGTCCCTCCGCCGTCCCCATCCGCTCTCCTCTCCCTTCGCCCCATTTCCGCAGATCCTGAATGCCTGTGGGGCGAAGCGGCAGTGGAAGGGCGTGCAGTGGGTGCTGCAGCAGATGCGCAGCGAGAGGGTCGCTCCTGATGCAGCCACGTTTGGCTTGGCCATCCAGGCCCTGTCACTGTGCGGTCAGACCCATCTCGCCCTGCAGCTGCTCGCTGATATGGAGGCGGCTGGCTTCCCCCCCACCGTCCAAACCTACAGAGGTAAATAGTCAGCTTTACCACCCGCACCTACTTACGAGCGCTGGCAACAGCAGGGCGGGTGGAGGAGGCAGAGGCGGCAGTGGGGGAGATGAGATGCACTTGTGACGTGTTGTGTTGCTTACACTGCTCACTCCCTGGTTCCTGTCTTCCAAATCTCTTCCTCGAATCCCTTTCAACCCACTCTACAGACCTGGTGCGGGCACTGGCAGCAGCGGGGCGGGTGGAGGAGGCAGAGGCGGCAGTGAGGGAGATGCAGGAGCGAGGAATGGAGGGCAACGCAGGGGTGTTCCACTCCCTTGCATGCGCGCTCTGCTCTGTGGGACGCTGGCGCGATGCTGTTGCTCTGGTGAGTTCAGTCAGACGTTGCGTGATGCGTTGGGATGTGAGTCCATCTGGATCAGGGGATGGAGGGCAACGCGGGGGTGTTTCACGCCCTTGCATGCGCGCTCTGCTCTGTGGGACGCTGGCACAATGCTGTTGCTCTGGTAAGTCTAATCAGTCATCTTGTAAGCATTGGGGTTGGATTGGAAGGGAATGCGGGGCGTGGGCATGGAAAAGTGTTGCAAGAAATTATGGTGCCTGTGCCTTTGCTAGTGTTTGGTGTGTCTGGTACGTAAACCAACCACACTAGGCATTCCCTGGTTGCTTCCTAATCCGGGCCATATGGTTAACCTGGGCAGGTGGAGAAGATTTCGCGGGCAGAGGATGCGCAGCCACCAGTGGTGACGTGGACAGGCCTGATTCGCGCGTGCGAGCGAAGCAACCGATTGGACGACGCGGCCTGGGTTTTCCGGGAGATGCAGGTGCAGGGGTGCACCCCCAACATCACCACCTGTAACATCATGATCACTGTCTTTGCCCGCACGGGCAGGTTCGCGGCTGCGGAAGAAATTTACGCCGCTGCCCGGTCGGGCGGGAGGCCTATAATCACGGGCAGGAAGAGGTGGATGAGCAAGGAAGAGAGGCAGGAGGCGAGGATGCAGCGACTGATAGCTAATAATAGGAGCAGGAGGAGGCTGATACGAGAAGGGAGATTGCCAAGAGAGGGAAAGGTGGGGGAGGGAGCAAATGAGGTTGGGGCTGGGGAAGAGGGGGAAGAGGATGAGTTGGAGGGGGTAGATGACGAAATGGATGCCATTGGTGTGACAGGAGAGAGCGAGGAGGAGAAGAGGAAGGAGGAGAAGGAGGGGGAGAATGGGGAGGAAAACTGGGAGGAGGATGGGGAGGAGGAGGAGAACGCAGGCGAGAGGGTATGGTTGGGGAAGAGGCGGGAGGATCCTCCCTTAGTGCCCAACAGCCACACGTTCTCTGCCATGCTGGGTGCGTGCGTGCGATGCCGGCAGTGGCAGGCCGTGAGGCAGGTAGCACGGGACATGCAGCGGGCGGGGTGGGCGCTGCAGGTGCGGCAGCACGGATGGGTGGTGGATGCCCTGTTGAAAGGCAAACAGACAGCGATTGCTGATGAGCTATTGCTTGCCATGCGAGGGGACTCGCAGTCGCACACACCAGCAGGGAGCCGGAGTAGGGGTTCTGTGGAGCGAGAGGGAGTGGCAGCTGCTGGGGGTTCTGGCGTTGGCAGCAGCAGCCAGGAATCCAATCGCGTTAGCAGCGGTATCGTTGGCAGCAGTCGAGAGTTAAGTCGTGACAGAGCAGGGCTGTTGGGTCAGGATTATGGTGGTGTGGGGCAGGAGGAGAGTTCTCCTGGGGTGGATGGGAGCATGGGCGAGGAGGAGCAGAGGAAGGCAGCTGCACGGCAGCAGCTTGAGTTGCTGTCGGTACTGCCTGGTGCGAGCAGCAGAAGATACGGGGCGAGCAAACAGGGGATCTTAGATGACAGCGAAGACAGGAGCAGCAGCATGAACAGTGCCGACATTCCCAGCAGCACCGGCGCCACTGACAGCATGAGCACCAGCACAGACAGCAGCAGCAGCAGCAGCACACAAGCCAGCAGCACCACCACTGGCAAGGACAGCAGCAGTGGTGAGCTGAGCCCAGTCCTGCTGAGGGTGCGCGAGCTGCTAGAGTCTCATGCGCCGCTGGATGGCTTTGCTTGGCGTTATGCCGTGGCGTCGGTGGGCGGGGGACTGACGGGGGCTGGAGTGGAGGAGACTGTGGGAGTGATGGACGCTTGGGGGAGGGCTGTGGAGGGAAAGGCTTTGGAGGAGAAATCTTTGGAGGAGAGGGGGGTTGAAGGGGAGGTGGTGGGAGGGGAAGGCGGATATGGGGTTGTGACAGGTGCTGATATTTCAGGAGATGTTGAGTCAGGGTGTGCTGAGTCATCAGGTGTTGAGTCGTCAGGGGTAAATACACAGGGAGGAGCAGAGAAGGGGGCAGATGCTGGAACACAATCAGACGCTGCCGCAAGTGGTGCTGCTGATGCTGCTGCATCTGCTGCTAACCCTGAAACTGCTCCAACTGCAACCCCTGAAGCCTACCCTGCATCGTCCCCTGCAGTGGATCATGGTGTGCTTGCCGACCTTGTAAGGGGGCTGCTTATAGGGGGGAAGAAGGAGGAGGTACAGGTGGCGTTGCGATTGGTCGACCGGATGAGAGGGAAGGGTGGGTGGCAGACGCCGGAATATACACTAGCCTGCTGCACCGAACCCTCAAGCTTGGAATGGGAGCTGAGGTGCTGGCTCGGGCCGAGGCAGCAGGTGTGAAGGTTGAGTACGACGAGCTGGAATTGAGTGACTCTGTAGGGGTTACGGTTGGGGAGAGGGGCGAGAGGGTGGGAGGAGGATGGCAAAGAGGGGAGAGGGATCGAGTGGAGGAGCCATCTGCTTGGGACATTTTGAAAGTGTGGAGGAAGGAGCTGCAATGAGGAACAACAATAAACACATTTTGTGAATAAACAACAATTTTGGTTGAAAGGTTTAGCTTCAGAGGATGCTCACTGGGTAACAGGGGTAACAATACTTTAGAACTTCCAATGTTACAAGTTACTGCGAGTTACTGCGATGAGTAATTGTTACCAGCTGACTTTCGTGAAGCATTTTTCCCTCACGTAGCATCCCTCTTGCTCCTCACTGGCTTGAGGCTTTTAGTTTCTAAAGCTCGCTGAGGCTGGTCTTATGTCTCTTGCCCGCCTCGCGCTCCGCTGCAGCTTTACCGACCTCGGAACGCGACACACACGGACGGCTCACAGACAGACGGCCACGTAGCTGTTTTCTTCGCCTTTCCGTCTCGCGTGGAGACGTCGCAAAGCTTGAAACTATCAAACAGGGCAGCTATGTAAAAAGGTTAGGAAGGTTCTTTCTCGCTTTCCATCGACTGGGTTAGCTTAGCTCCACGTTTTTTAGAAAGTAAAAATAGATGCGCGCTACCTAACGGAAACATTGCATCGTACCGTTTCGTCGGGACATTGATTGCGGCTTTCCGTCGAAGCCATGGCCGCCGCAGAATTCGAGATCTGCGAAAACTGGTATGACGTACTTTACAGTCTGGTTCTATGATGTTTTACGAATTGGCTATTTATCCGGTTCATCCGCGTCGTCCCTACGTGTCATCCGCGTCGTCCGTCCGTGTCATACGCGTCTACGTGTCATCGCGTGGTCCGTACGTGTCATCCGTGTCGTCTGTACGTGTTATATTGTCGTCCGTGTCATTGCATTCCATCGCGTTCCACCCACTTCCCCCTCGCAGCGCTCGCCCCATCCCCGTGGCCAACCTACCGCTGCACGCGGCGCACTGCGAGACGCGCCTGCTCTTCATGTCTGTCGTGCTCTACTTTTCCCGCTTTTACGCTTTCCCCACTTCCCATTCTCCCCACCTCAGCGCTCGCCCCATCCCCGTCGCCAACCTACCGCTGCACGCAGCGCACTGCGAGACGCGCCTCGTGCGCTGCGATGGGTGCGACGAGATGGTGGCCAGTGCCGCCATGGACCAACACGTGGCAGCCGTGCACGCTCCGGTGAGTTCTGACACTCAGCCAGAGACACTTATCTTGCAGTGCGACGCGTGGGACGAGATGGTGGCGAGTGCCGCCATGGACCAACACATATCAGCCGTGCACGCTCCCGTGAGTGATGGGATTGAATTGTGTGTTCACCGCCCTCTCAGTGAGTGTCGGCACTTGGTGTTCTCGTCAACAGGTGCGACGAGATGGTGGCCACTGCCGCCATGGACCAACACGTGGCAGCCGTGCAGCCGTGCACGCCGCGGTGAGTTGTTGTGACACTTTGTGTGGGCTGCGGTGGGTGCTATGGGTGCGACGAGATGGTGGCCACTGCAGCCACGTGGCAGCCGTTCACGCTCCCGTAAGTAACAACATTCTGGGTCCAACATTCTGTAAGTGACATTTGCAATGAGATGGTGGTGACTGTACCCATGCACCCATGCACCCATGCACCCATGCACCCATGCACCCATGCACCCATGCAGCGTTACCTTGACCCATCTTCCCCCTTCCGCCCACCTCCCCTATCACCTCTCCTTCTTCAGGCACCCTGCTCGCTGTGTGGGGAGCCCATGGAGCGTCGGCTCCTGCCAGAGCACGAGGCGTCAGCGTGCCCCCTGCGCTCCCTAATCTGCGCCTACTGTGATCTTCCTGTCACAGCCATGGACCTCCAACCCCACACCGTAAGGATACTCTTTTTGAGTTGACTCCAAAAACATCCCTGCCCCCTGCCCCCTGCCCCCTGTGCCCCCTTCGCTCCATGATGTGTGCTATGGACCTCCAATCCCACACTGTGAGCATGTTCTTTTTGAGTCGACTCTAATAGCATGCCTCTTGGGAGGCCTGCGACGTGCCCCCTGCGCTCCCTAATCTGCCCCTACTGTGATCTCCCTGTCACCGCCATGGACCTCCAATCGCACACTGTAAGAAACTGCCTTCTCTTAAGCCGCACTGACCGGTGTGAGATATGCAGCAAGTACGTGTATGTTCGCTCATATTCTCATATTCTCTCCACTTTCGATCACTTCGCTGCAGGACGTGTGTGGTAGCCGCATAGACCGGTGTGAGATATGCAGCAAGTACGTGTATGTCTGCTCGTATGCTCGTATTCTCTCCACTTTCCATCACTTACCTGCAGGACGTGTGTGGTAGCCGCACAGACCGGTGTGAGATATGCAGCAAGTACGTGCAGAAGAGGGATCAGGTAGCGCATCAGCAGCAGCACCTCCTGCAACCATCATCACTCCATGCCGCCACTCCCATTGCGAGCAGCAGAGATGGCACCAGAGCAGGTTCATCTCACAGCACTCGCGAGTCTCACAACATTTCAAATGGTTTATCTGGTAGATCGCCTGGGAGTGCTGCGCGTGGTGGTGCTAGCAGTGGTGATGGTGGGTCTGGAGGAATAGGGAGGTACTGGCAGCTGCTTGTTCCTGTAGGGTTTGTGGTGGTGGGTGTGGCCTTGGCACTGGGTGTAAGGAAGAGAAACAAGCTGTAGGGAACATTTTGGTACTATGTATGTGTTATTAGATATGTTTATAGCAGATGCCTCACTGTGAGTAGTTGGACAGTAATTGTTGAAGCTTGCCATTGCTGCAATTATTTCATTCACAAACGAACTGCAGAACCCACACATGAGCACATATCAAATACATTGGGCAACCAGTCTCGATAGAGCTACACTGACCAACACCTAGAACATTTCGCGTTACAAGTGCCCGTTTTTCCCCAACAGAATTTGTATCATATCGCGTATAACCCACGCTCCATCCCTATCCAATCAACACACAGAACCACACCCATTTTCAAGCGCGTCACTTTCCGCGTTTCACGGCGGCGAGAACTCCTTACAGGCTACCTATCAGCTTCTGTACAGAAGTCAACAAGTCAAACGAGTCAACGACCATTCGCCATGGACGCGGTTTCGCGGCAGTCGCTATCATTGACGCAATGCGCAGCTCACACCCCGCGCCGAGCGTTGCAACCGCTGGCTGCGTTTTGCTGCGACAGCACACTCGCGAAGTTGTCGCCTCAATTCGCGAAAGCATCGAGTGGTTTCAGCTCGTCGCACAAATGTTCGTTGAGTCTGCTGCGACGAAGAGCTGCATTGACCAGACCTAGCAGGAACCGCAGCAGCACAGCCAGCGGCGAGTGGATAGCGCGTAAGCAAATGGCCGTTCTGGCGAGTATCCACGGTGATAATAACGGTGCTAGTGACTATAGTGGTGCGGAAACTACCAATGGTGGCAGCGATACTAGGAGTGACGGGACCAGCGGAAGCAGCAAGGAAACTATTGCCTCGTCTGCACGATCCGCAGCTTCCCCGTCGGGTGGAAGCACCCAGGAAGCTTCGTTTCTAGCGCCGGTCGGGGAGATGCTGCAGCGGAACAAGGCGAAGACGGCCGAGTGAGTTCGCGCCTGGTGAGATGCTTCAAGGAACCTTCAAAACCTGGAGACAGAATAAAACTAGTTTTGCTCTCAACCAGAACATTTCATTCTCAGTTTTGTCACCCTCGGTGTTGTCACCTGGTCACCAGATGCAAAAGATTTGCTTGCGACCCTCAATCCTCATCGTCTGTTCTGCCTCTTCTCCTCCCCCTTCACCAATCAACGGTCCCCAGAGTGCTGGAAAAGCTGCAGTCATTTGGTGTGGCTGGCGTCCTCGCTTATGGCCTCTTCAATACAGTCTACTACATTTTCGCCTTCCTCTTCGTATTGTGAGTCGAACATATATCATCTCGGTTTCAAACCCCATGTGCGGTTTCATTTTCGGTTTCTGCCTAATCTCCGCTAACTCCCCAGCCCTCATCCCCCTCCCCCTCCCACCTTCTCTCTGCATGCGGGCATGTGCATATGTGTGCGTGTGTTTGTTTACCCATGTGCGTCTGTCTGCATACATGTCTGCATTTTCCCATCCCATGTGCATGTGTGCAGTCTCTACGTGGCCCCATCTCCGCGAGGGCTGGGATTCGCAGCAGCGGCAAAGAAGTGAGTGCCCTATTGCCCACCCAGGCGCCTTGTCCCCTATTGCCCACCCAGGCGCCTTGTCCCCTATTGCCCACCCAGGTGCCTTGTGCCCTATTGCCCACCCAGGTGCCTTGTGCCCTGCCTAGCAGCCTATCAATAGATGAGGACCAGCAACAGCAAAGGAGATGATTTTCCATGTGGCCCCGTTCCTGCGAGGGCTGAGATTTAACGAGGGCGTGTGAGGGTGTAACGACGGCCATGCTGGGGAGAGAGCAGGGGATTGTTTAGAGGATGACCAGCAGCAGCACAATGTGGGGTAGCGTGTGGTGGGAGTGGGGATGAGGTGTAGTATGTGAGAGATTCCGTTTGTCAGACGCCATTTGCACCCACCATTCAGCACAAGCTTGAGCACCTCCTTCCTCTCCCCTCTGTCTCCCTTCTTCCTTCTCCCCTCTCTTACCAACCCTAATCTACCACAGTTTCCTCAAGGTCTTTGCAGTGGTGTGGGCGGGCAGTCAGGTCACCAAGCCCTCCCCTCGCCCCTTTGCCTTGCCTCTCCTCTCATCCTCCTCTTGCCCCAACCCTAATCCACCCTCCCCGCCCATTCACAGTTTCCTCAAGGTCTTTGCAGTGGTGTGGGCGGGCAGTCAGGTCACCAAGCTTGTGCGAGCAGGCGGGTGAGAATTCCGAATGTTTCGTGATAGCGGTGGAAAATCGTGATGCTGACTGGGTTACGGTACTTGCAGTGGTGTCTGAGGGCAGACAGGTCACCAAGCTCGTCCATGCAGGCGAGTAGAACAAAATCTGTTGAGTGGTTCCGAGCTCTGTCCCTCCACCCCATAGCGCCGATGCCAGCGCCCCTCATGGAAATGGTCATTCGCTCTCTTCTTCATTGCACTGCTCTCCTGCTCCAGAGCAGTGGTAACTCACTATCACCTCGCTCCATTCCTCCACCCCACCCCCTCCTACAGAGCACTGATGCTAGCACCCTTCATGGAAAGAGCCATCGCCGCTCTCTCCTCCTCATCAGGCGTGTTCAAGTCCCGAGGCCAGGCTGTGGCAGCTGTAGTGGCCTTCTGCTTTGGCCTCGCTGGGGTGCTCTTCCTGTCAGTCACTGCTCTGTGGGCGTGAGGGATTCACCATGCCTGTTCAAGTCCCGAGGCCAGGCTGTAGCCGTTATAGCGGGCTTCTGCGTTGGCCTTGCTGGGGTGCTCTTCCTGTCAGTCACTGCGTTGTGGGCGTGATGCATTGAGCGTGCCCTGTACTTCTGCCAGGCTTTCCTCCAAAAATGTGTTCAAGTCCCCAGGCCACGCTGTGGCTGCTATAGTGGCCGCCTGCTTTGGCCTCACTGGGATGCTCTTCCTGGCAGTCACTGCACTGTGGGCGTGAGCCTTTCACCATACTGTTTCCTATCGTCGCAAGAGACTGTCTGAGCCATTTCAAATTCGGGGTGCTCTTCCTGGCAGCCGCTGCGCTGTGGGCATGAGCACTTCACTAAGCCCTGCCTGGCTGTGCTATTCTGCTCATTGCACCTGACATTGGTCCCTGGTTCAGCTTGTTGGGGGTGAACACTGCACACCTGCCTTGCCTAGTTGAGCAGGAATCATAAGAAAGTGTCATGGATGTGTCACACCAGTAAGTTCATCTGTACACTGTAGTAAGAAGCTGCTGTTTCAGGACCTGTACACTGCCTTTCACGTGCGAAGGAAATCCCTAGGTTCATGTACTTCAGTTAAACTGCTGATTGTTTATACATGGAGGTATCGAGCACCTGCTTGCCGCACATGGCACACACGCCTGGCAGGGGGGAGTGGGGGGAGTGTGCGGAGCAGCGGAGGGAGTGGCAACACATCAATAGACAACTGGATGGACTGCGTTCAGCCAGGATAATGCAGTTCGGTCAAACAGCTGATTGTTTATACATGGAGGTATCGAGCACTTGCTTGCCGCACATGGCACATACACCTGAGCAGGGGTGTTGGAGGGGGTGTGGGGAGGGGGAGAGGGAGGGGGAGGAGGGGGGGGGGGAAGGAGGAGAGACGGAGTGGAAACAAGGAAACAGCAAGCCTATGAGCAGGGAGCATATACAGACCAGCTATCGGTATACATCTTTTTTGTTATCGTAAGAATATACACCATAACGGACACGGCATCAAGGAAAAGTCAAAGGTGCCTGACATTGACGATCAAATTGCAATTTCCATACATGTAGCGATCTAACAATGTGCGTTACTGTATTTGAGATTTAACATACAGACACGCACCTTTTTTATAAGAGCATAGGTGGCAGTACTTCCCCTCCTGGTGCAGCTGTTGCTTGCAGATAATGCACTTAAAGGTTGCAGATAATGCATACGGAGTGTACCCATTTACCTTTTTTATACGAGCATAGGTGGCAGTACTTCCCCTCCTGGTGCAGCTGTTGCTTGCATATGATGCACTTGAAGGATGCAGATGATGCATACGGAGTGTACCTGCCCATAGGAGAGACACCCATAAACGTGGGAAGGCGTGTATGGGAAGGCGTGTATGAGAAGGCGTGTACGAGAAGGCATGTATGAAAAGGCGTGTACGAGAAGGCATGTATGAGAAGGCGTGTATGCGAAGGCGTTTATGCGAAGGCCCAGGTGGAAAGGTGGTGGAGGGGAATGGACGAGTTGAGAGAAGAATCAAGTACATGAGCGCAGAAGGGGGGAGGCAGGCAGTAAGCTTTAACAAAACTCAGCGTGACGAAGGTCTCTGAATGTGTAACGCGGTGCACCTACCTTTTCTTCTTGGACAGCAGCTTGTTCTCATTAATCTTTCTGCCGCCGCTCTCTGTGGTGTTAGACGCCCCCTCCTTCCACTTGTCCGGCACAATCACCTTTGACAGCTTCTTCTGGCCTGCCAGCATGGGAAGGGTATCTCAAGACATATCAGGGTTCCTGAGGGTAGCTGTCTCAAGAAGACAACCACAATCACCTTCATTCAGCTGTCTTCCTGCCGCCATTCTCTACTCTCAGTGGTGTTGGACGCTCCCTCCTTCCACTTGTCCGGCACAATCACCTTTGACAGCTTCTTCTGGCCAGCCGGATGCCAGCATCGGGAGGAATGACATAAGAGAGAGTTTAAAGGCCACCCCTTCCATTCGTCTTTTGAGAACAAATCAGAAGTTACCACGATCACCTTTACAGCTTCTTCGCACCTGCCGGGTGCCAGCATGGGGAGGAATGGCATAAGAGAGAGTTAACAAGCCACCCCTGGGTTTCCATTTGTCTTTTGAAAATGACTCATGACTCACAAGTCACCACAATCACTTTTAACAGCTTCTTCGCACCTGCCGGATGGCAGCATGGGGAGGAATATCTAACAACATATAAAATAGATTTACCATTAGCCCTCCAGTTTTAAGGCTCGACGCTCTTGCCAGCTCGCGCCCTTGCAAGCTTCAAGGTAAGGACTAAGAGTGGGGAGGAATACAGGCAGAGATGCTAGTGACGACGAGGAAGCTTCAGAAGAAAAGGGACCTTCAAAAGAACGTAACTCACATTTATCGCACACCATGCTGGTTCCTTGAAGTAAGAGTCCTTAATATCCGCTTCCTTGCTGCACGCTTCCTTGAATTTCCTTAGAATAGCCTTCCGAGAACCACGCGAGCAGGGAGAAAAAGATAACGATAACTAATTCTTCACCTGACCAAAAATCAGCGCAATAGAAGCACTGTTGAACCAACGGCTTCGTCAACCAACGGCGAAAGTGAAGCATACAGTCACTTGAACGCCCTACAGTACGTCGCGGAAAAGGTGAGCAAAACCTGGCCTACAATACGACCGTTAAGGACACGTTCAAGTACGACTCTACGTAAACAGCCGCTACCTAACGTGCCGGGTGAGGCTGCTAGCGTGCTGTTATATGAATTCAAGGTAGCAAGTGGAGCGTACCTTGAAAACTTGCTATGTGCCTGGGAAAACTTGTTTGTCGGAGCTATGTGCCTGGGAAAACTTGACCCCGTTATGAGGTCTGGCTCGTACAGCACGCTGACACTTTGTTAATGCTTTTAATTTGTTTAGAATGTATTATTGTATGCTTGCGAATAGAAATTTCCACTTATATGGAAGAACAGCTGGTGACCAGTGTTAAGGAAACCTAATTCAGTTTATAGGTTGTACACTGCACAGTTTAAGTTACGCCTAACTAAATTATGAAACCTAGTTAGATTTCATCACAGCCTCCACACTTCGCCTCGATGGCCCCCTCAGAACAATGCAACGACGACGACAAGAGCCAAGGCGACGGAAGAAAACAGCTGCCATAAGCTCCGCGCATGCGCACCGCTCTTGGGTGGAGGCGGAGGCGGAGGGGAAGAAGGAGTTGGCGGAGGAGGGGACGGCAGGACCGGAGGGGGAGGCGACGCGCTGGGAGGAGACGCTGAAGCGCTAGCAAACCCCGACAATTCGCCGAGTTGCCTTCCGCCTTCGTCCATCCCGCCAACGATAGAGAGATCACCGGCGGTCATCGAGAGTAGATCGTCGACGGAGGGAGGCAGGAGGAGCGCGTTGACGGTGTGAACCACGACCGTGCTGCTCCCCGCGTCCCCGGCGCTTAGTTGCGCGGACGCGGCGGCGGAATCCGCGGCTTTACCGGAAAGGCGCTCGTCGGGGGAGAGGGGATTCAAGGACAGCGTGACCGCGCGGTATTGCTTCACGCTGGTTCCGCCGACCTGGAACGCCAGCGCGTCCACGTGGAGCGCGATCGGCGCGCCCTGCAGCGTCTCGTACGAGCCTTCCCACGCGAACGCGGACACGGGCCGCGCGACCACGTGGTACAGGAGCACGTCGCGGAGAAGCTCCGCGTTGCGCGGAAGCTTCAGAAACGCGAGGAGCGCGGGGTCCGCGCGCAAGAGCGCGACGTTGGTCGGCGCAAACACGGTCAGGGCGGATCCGAATCGCACGCGGAGTTCGAGCTCTGGAATGAGCCCGGCGTGCTTGAGCAGGCTCACGAATCCCGTAAGTCCCGCCGACGAGAGCTCCCTTTCCAATGTCGAATCTACGCCAGAAGCGAACGCGTCAGATGATTCGTAAGCAGATTCCGCGGATGCGAGCATCGCGGCAGGCTGTGACGAGCCGAGAAGGAGCAGGACGAGCGGGAGCATGGCGACGACTAGCGCTGATCGCGTCATCGTGTGACTAAGAGGAGAGAGAGTCGATCGACGGCGCTGAGATCTGAGATGCGGAGGCGACTTTGTGAATGCTGAGAGCGCTGGAGAACCACGGCCACAGAAATGTGGCGAATATGTGCGAGAATAGCCACGGAGATCTAGATTGCCGAGTGGTTTGCAGAATAAGTTGTTAGAAGCCGGATTTGATGAAGCCCTTAGCGGCAGCAGACGTACTAAATACTCCGCGTGCGATCCACGGATCTAGGCTGTGCCCGCCGTGGCGCTGGCTGCTGGGGGTGCGTGACTTGCGGATCCAGACCTGTGTGCTTGGAGGCGCGGCACAGCACAGCCAGTCCCAAAAAGCACGGGTGTTCCCCAAAAGTTCGTGTGGTAACCTCTCAGTGCAATCTTCACGGTTTGAAGCTTTATCATAGAAATATAGAACGGTTACGTGAGGTACTGAACGAAATTGAACATTCGGTTTGGACACAGCCCAAGAAACCTGGTCGGTCGGATCTGGGGCGCAGCGGGTGAGTCAATGTCGCGGAAATCGGGATGAGGCTGTCCGCGCGCAGTCAGGAATTCCCGACAAATTCGGTGGAGTTTTGGGTTTCGGGAGGGTGGTTTGGTTGGTTGGAAGTGGAATGGGCGGAGGTGGGGGTGGGGGGAGATTGGAAACTGGGGAAGATCTTTTGACGGCACGCCACGCGACGCCAGGTGGGCTAGATTGATTGGGGGTGCGGAACCTTCGAACGCACGTGAATAGGATTTGTGGAAGCTTCTCGTTTACCGTGTTGCAAAGTAGGAAGAAAAGCATAGAAAATTTCGTATTATCAAAGAGTGGAAACCTTATAAGGAATACAGCGTAGTACACTGGCGGTTTGAACAGACCACGTTGACAACCTGAGAATCCGCTGTACTCGGTAAAAGAAAAGGCCATTACATTGTAGGAGATTTACTCTACCATTAGCGTGCGGGGGGCACGAACTCACCACTGCTTCGGTTTCCATCGGTGGATGTCGGTCAGTTCCAACCTCACACCTCACCCCTTACTGGTGATGAGGTACCACGTGGGTTCATCATATCTCTCTTTTCGTCTAAGAGACACTTCAACACACGTCAGCACAGCTGATTCCCTCCGCGTAAAGCTGAGGCGGCTGAGCTGACGTATCCGCCTCCGCCCGAATTTTTGGAATCCACCTCAGAGTCGCCACCGTCCCCCCACCATGTCCGCCACCTGCTCCCGCCTCGCGCGGCTACTCTCTCGCGCCGCATTCACGATTCCTCGAAACGCGCCCCGCAGCAACCATGGCTCGGTCAGCCATTTCACCGCGTCTCGGTCCGTGTCGACCAAGATTGCCGCTCGCGCAGCACCCCATTTCGCGGAATCTTCGCGCCCGGGAGCGTGGAACCCCCTGGTGGGGCGTCCTCTCGGACCGCTAAGCGCGCCGAGCCTCGCGTCCTCGAATCCGCGCAGGGGGTCGTCGGGCGTGGCGGTAGCGCGCGCCAACTCCGCGGACGAGAATGCAGCGCGAGAGCAGGCGGAGAATGAGGCGGGGGTTGCGGAGAAGAGAGCGCGACTCGGGTTTGTAGGTGAGCAGCATGAAACGCGCTGTATGGACTAATTAGAATTAACTGCTTCAGCATTTTCGAAATTGCTCGGGTTTGTAGGTGAGCATTATCTCCCGGTTTTTGAGAATTCTCAGAAATTGCTCTGAATCTCCCTCGTCTCCATTCATTTTTTTCCCGCACCCACTACTTCCACTCCCCCGTTCCCCACCCCCATGTCAAATCTTCAATCAACGTGTGCGTCCCTTCACCCCTGGTCTTCCGTTTCCCCCTCTCCCCTTTGCCCCCTCTCCCCTTTTCCCCCTCTCCCCTTTGCCCCCTCTCCCCTTTGCCCCCTCTCCCCTTTGCCCCCTCTCCCCTTTTCCCCCTCTCCCCTTTGCCCCCTCTCCCCTTTGCCCCGGATTCGTCAAATCCTCCTCCGCGTTTCCCTTCCCCCCCCTCCCCCTCCCCTTTCCCTCCCCCCGGCAACCCCCACACCCACCACCTCTCCCCTCCCCCCAACCTTAGGAGCGGGGCAGATGGCGGAGGCGTTACCGCGGGGGCTGAGCGCGGCTTTTCAGCGGGTCACAGGCCCTCCCCTACCCCTCTCCTTCCCCTTCCCCTTCCCCCTTCCCCCTTCCCCCTTCCCCCTTCCCCCTTCCCCCTTCCCCCTTCCCCCTTCCCCCTTCCCCCTTCCCCCTTCCCCCTTCCCCCTTCCCCCTTCCCCACATTAGGAGCGGGGCAGATGGCGGAGGCGTTAGCGCGGGGGCTGAGCGCGGCAGGCGTGGTGCCGCAATGGCCCTCCCCTCCACTTCCCACCTTCACCCTCTCCTTCCCCTCCCCCCTCCACCTCCCCCCACGCTAGGAGCGGGGCAGATGGCGGAGGCGTTAGCGCGGGGGCTGAGCGACTTTTGAAGCGTCTCTGAAGCCCACCTCTCCCTTCCCCACCTTTACAACACCGCTCACGCCTCCCCGCTCCCCTTCCCCCTTCCCCCACATTAGGAGCGGGGCAGATGGCGGAGGCGTTAGCGCGGGGGCTGAGCGCGGCGGGCGTGGTGGAGTATGCTGACATGGCAGCTGCTGACGTCAACAGTGACAGGCTGGCGGTGTTTCAAGGCATAGGCATCGACACCAAGGAGAGCGCCAGGGAGGTGGGGGAAAAGGGAACGGGGGAAACGGAATGGGGTACCTGCGGATATGAAGGGGGCAGAGCAGAAAGATTGTAAAGTTTGATTTGTTTCAAGGCATTGGCATCGACACCAAGGAGAACGCCAGTGAGGTGAGGGAAGGGAAGAAGGGAAGGGGGTGCGGCCAGCAGGTGGCGGCCAGCAGTGACTTCATTTGTACCCACCTTCACCCCTCACCACCCCTCACCACCCCTTCAAATCCACCACAACCAGGTGGCGGCCAGCAGTGACGTCATCTTCATTGCAGTCAAGCCGTTTGCCGTGCAGCCTGTGCTTGCTGACCTGGCGGCCTCGGGCGCGCTGACGGAGCGCCACCTCATCGTGTCGATCGCTGCGGGCGTGCCACTTGGCAAGATGCAGCAGTGGGCGGGGGAGGGCGTGCGGATCGTGCGAGTCATGCCAAATACCCCCTGCCTAGTTGGTGCCACTGCTGCTGGTGAGTCATGCTGCTGGTGAGTCATGCTGCTGGTGAGCTAAGTTGGATCTTACGTTTACGGTTCCTTACGTTTTCGTAAAATTACGACAATTTTTACGTTTACGAACGGTGGCCCTGATTCGGCCTTACGTTTACGGTCACCTCAAAACTTTTTTGAGCTGCCCAAGGGAAAAGAAATGACCAGAGTATTAGGGGGATTCATTGGGTAAACCATGAATCTGAATTCTCGATTCAGATCCAAGTTCGACAAGGGTGGTGTCAACCTAGCAGCTCGTTCGTAATCTATCGTGTTTCTCTCCTACTAACCAGGTCAACGCTGAATCTGAAACTTTCACGGACTCAAAAGGCCCTCCATACGTAGTAAAGTCGCTATTCTAGAAAAACACACGTCGGATTAGTAGTAAGGATCTAGTACACGTACATAATCCTGGAAAAAAAAGCTCTAAACTTTTTTTTTCCTGCCCGCCTCATACTTACGCGTAATTTACGTTTTCGTTTACGTTTACGCGAAATTTACGTTTACGTGACCTCCAAAAACGTAAGAGCCCAACTTAGCTGGTGAGTCATGCTGCTGGTGAGTCATGCTGCTGGTGAGTCATGCTGCTGGTGAGTCATGCTGCTGGTGAGTCATGCTGCTGGTTGGAGCGCTGTAGTAGCAAGGTGCATATAGCCGCTTTCCGCTTTCACCAAGATGCAGCAGTGGGCGGGGGAGGGCGTGCGGATCATGCGAGTCATGCCCAACACGCCCTGCCTTGTTGGTGTCACTGCTGCTGGTTACACGTGGTGCTGGTTGGAGTGCTGGTGACACGTGGCGCTGTCCTCCTCCACCTCCTCTTCTTCCCCCTTCCACCATGTTTTTAGGCGCGATCTCCTCTATTCCCCTCCATCCTGTTGCCGCGTATTCCCCCCATCCAGCAATGAGTCTGGGAGAGCACGCAACAGAGCAGGATGGCGCGTTAGTGAGGGCCATGTTTGTTTGGGCATGTTCAGAACCGCCTCCTCTCCTCCCTCTATTCGTCCGTTCTCCCCCTCATTTCCCCCTATTCGCCACTAATCCCCCCCATCCAGCCATGAGTCTGGGAGAGCACGCAACAGAGGAGGACGGGGCATTGGTGAGGTCCATGTTTGGTGTCGTTGGGGAGGTGTACGAGGTGGAGGAACGCCTACTGGACGCCGTTACTGGCCTCAGGTGATTCCAACAGAGGGCTCCGGTGATCCTAACAAAGCTCAGGTGATTCCAACAGAGGGCTCCGGTGATCCTAACAGAGCTCAGGTGATTCCAACAGAGGGCTCCGGTGATCCTAACAGAGCTCAGGTGATTCCACCAGTGGCGCTGGTGAGGGCCGGCGGGGGAGAGGGGGGGGGGATGTTCGAGGTGGAGGAACACCTGCTCGACGCTGTTACTGGGCTCAGGTGAGTGTGCCTGCATCCGTGCTTTACGACTTCTCACATTCTCCCACTTTCCCCTACTCCCCTTCTCCCCTTCTGGTGGATGGCGGTACAGCTGCAGGCCTTTCCTGAAAAGTGGCTCTCTCCCTTGCTGCTTTCCACTCACCTCGTTCTCCCCTTCTCCCTTCTCTTCCTCTCCCCACTGCAGTGGCAGCGGGCCAGCATACGTGTTTGTGGCCATAGAGGCTCTGGCGGATGGTGGCGGGGAGGTGATATGCGAGTGTGCGTGTGCCAGCACCCCTGCTTATCACGTCTCCCCTCCCTTTGTTCCCTTTTCCTACTACAGTGGAAGCGGCCCAGCATACGTGTTTGTGGCCATAGAGGCTCTGGCTGATGGTGGCACGGCGGCAGGCCTTCCCCGGAAGGTGGCTCTCTCCCTCGCTGCTCAGACAGTGAGTCTCTGGGTGGGGTGAGGTGAGGTGAGGAGGCTGTCTCGCATTCTCCCCACTACAGTGGAAGTGGTCCAGCATATGTGTTTGTTGTAGCGATAGCGGCGCTGGCTGATGGCGGTACAGCAGCAGGGCTCCCCCGGAAGGTGGCTCTCTCCCTCGCTGCTCAGACGGTGAGATGTTGTGAGCGGTGATACGTGGTGAGGCGAGGTGAGATGACGTAAGGTGAGGTACGACGAGATGTCGAGAGGTAATGTGGTGAGATGGCATGGAAAGGTGGCCCTCTCCCGTGCTGCTCAGACATTGAGAGGGGTTGTCTTTATGGGGTGAGGTGAGGCGAGGCAATATGGTTGATGTGATGGGAGGCCAGGAGTGGGATTGTTTGCGGTGGGAGTTTTCAGGAGTGGTGTGTACATTGTGGTTCTGCCTCACCAGGTGAAGCAAATGAATCTCTCCTGATCACTTGTTGTAGGCAACTTCTCCCCCTCCCCGGCAGGTTTATGGAGCAGCTAAGATGGTGATTGACACTCAGAAGCACCCAGCCCAACTGAAAGACTCTGTCGCATCACCAGCAGGTATTTAATTCGACCACCGTTCTGCCACGCCACTCTCGTTGCAGTGTTTTCAGCCGACTTTCTTTATCTCTCCCGCACCCCGTTGACTGCAGTGCACTCACCAACTCAGCAGTGCCGGCCACTCTAGTGACTCTACTTTCCCCTCCCCTACTCCCTGCCCTTTTGTGCACCATGCAGGCACCACTATTGCCGGGCTCCACGAGCTTGAGAGGGGTGGATTCCGGTCGCTGCTTATGAACGCTGTGGTTGCTGCTGCCAATCGCAGCAAAGAGCTGTCCAAGTGATGGCCGGTCAGACTCGGATCGGAAGGACACGGGAGGCCCAAATACGGAGCCTCGGAAATTGCATTCTATTGCTGCTCATGAACGCTGTGGTTGCAGCTGCCAACCGCAGCAAAGAACTGTCCAAGTGACAGGTGGCAAGTTCGTTGCTGATCCTATTAACATAGAACAGTAACTACCATATTTACATAGAACATAAACTACCGTATTTACATAGAACAGTAACTACTGTATCCTATTTACACGGGACAGTTACTACAATATTTACATAGAAGAGCCCATCTTGTCGCTTTTACAACTAGTAAAAGTGACAGCAATCAGTCTCTTCTTCCCCTGTCACTCCTGCCACTCCCTCGGCCTCTCACCTGCAGCGGCACCAGCAGCTGCTCCAACCTTCTCACAGCACCCATCCCCCAAGCCAGCCTCTGCCCGGACCTTCCCAGGAGGTTCGTCACCGCACCGCACATTAATAGCACACCCTGTGGCAGCTACCACTACCTCCTCCCGCTCCACTCCTGCCGTCACTGTCAACGGCCGATGCTTAGCTAAAAGCCACTCCATCTCCCTGTCATCAATCTGCGTATACAGCCCGTCAGCGGGAAAAGCGCTTCTAGTAAACGCCGTCACAAGCCACTCGTTGAACTTGTGATGCAAGTAAACCATCGGGAGGTCGTTCGGGTCAAACTGAAACGGCTCCTCAATCTCCCTAGCCACTTCATTTAGGAGATAGAAGGAGAAGACGGAGAGCAAAGTGATTGCTGATGCAAGGTATGGACTGGCCAGCCAGTCGGCCATGAGGAGCGGGATGACGAGGGCGTTGATGTGCAGGAGGAGAGCGACGCACTGTGCGAAGGGGAAGGGGAAGGGCGTGTTCACTATCTTGAGTGCGTTCTCGTACCCCAGCATGCCATCTGGAAGGGTGGGGTGGTTAAGGGTGGGGGTGGACAAAGAGCGGTAACTTAAAGATGAGGAGGGAGAAAGGGATAGGAGGATGATGCGGACAGGACTTGATGACCCGATCATGTCCAGCATGTGCAAGCCAGAGGCAAGAGCAGAGGCCAAGGCAGAAGGAGCTCAAGCCAGAGAACACACTTGCACTAAGATGAGCTGAAAGGTAATGATAATAATAATAATAAAAAGTAATAATAATAATAATAACGATAATAGTAATAACAACAACAACAACAACAATAAAAACAATTCTAATAATACTATCAAAAATAATAATAATAACAATAACAAAATAATAATACACCTAACCTGAAAACACTTGGTATGTCGCAACACCTTTACCTGACAGCACTTGGTATATTCGGGACACAATCGGGGCGTCTTGGGAGATCCCCCCCGCCATGCGGCGAGCCACGAGCGCCCGGTGCAGCCAGCACATCACCAGGTACACACGGTCGTGGGAAGGTTCCAGGATGCTACACTCTGTGGGGTTCACTCCCCCCAGCACTGCCAGAGGCAGCGCACGCCAGTACTTTTCTAAATGGGGGCGGTTGGCGCGGAGAAAGACAATGGACCTGCAGAAAAGGGAGTTGCAGGTTGTGGGAGGAGTGGTGGGGGGTTAGGAGTGCATGCTTTTTGAGAATTCTAAAAAAACATACGTCAGGGTAAGCCGCACTCCCAGCTGTGGGGGTCGCCAGTATTTCTCGAGATGGGTCGGTGGGCTCTTAGGAACACCAGGGAGCTGAGGCACGGGCTAGGGCAGCATGGGCAAAGGAGCACAACGAGGGGCAGAGGCCGCCAGTTTTTGAGAGGTAGGTTGGCTGCCATGAGTTGCTTGCTTTGCCTCATGTCTGGTTCTTACCATAAAGCTATGCTATTTAACCGGAACCTTGATAGTTTGTATAACTGAAATGCTTAACCATATGCTTGGTACTTAAAAGTGCTTTACGTCACCTCCTCCTCTGGTTATTACCTCTGACGCAACAAAGGGAAGAGGTGGTTGCAACTTTGATTTTTCTCAAAGTTCTCCTTGTTCCCTCCACTCACTTGTTCCCTCCACTCACTTGTTCCCTCCACTCACTTGTTCCCTCCACTCACTTGTTCCCGCGCACTCGCATCCACGTCTCCACCTGACCCGCATCCACTGGCGGCTCTGGAGGAATGTCCATAAATCGACCTGCATGGGCGACAGAAGCGGAGAGGGAGAGAGAGGCGGAGAGGGAGAGGGGCAATCAGATAACAGAGCAGCCTAAACGATCGTTCCACTCCTCCACCTTGCCCGCATCCACTGGCGTCTCTGGTGCGATGTCCATGAATCGACCTGCGCACAGGGAGGCAGAGAGGGAGCGAGGGAGGAAGAGAGGCAGAGATGCAATCAGGCTACGAGGTGCCTCGCCTCACAGGTCACTCCACCTTCTGACCCGCGTCCACTGGTGGCTCTGGTGGGATGTCCATGAAGCGCCCTGCGTATGAAAGGCGCAGAAGGCAGAGGGAGGAAGGGAGGCAGAGAGGCAATCAGGCTACGAGGTGCCTCGCCTCACAGGTCACTCCACCTTCTGACCCGCGTCCACTGGTGGCTCTGGTGGGATGCCCATGAAGCGCCCTGCGTACGAAAGGCAGAGGGCAGAGGGAGGAAGAGAGGCAGAGAGGCAATCAGGCTACGAGGTGCCTCGCCTCACAGGTCACTCCACCTTCTGACCCGCGTCCACTGGTGGCTCTGGTGGGATGTCCATGAAGCGCCCTGCGTACGAAAGGCAGAGGGCAGAGGGAGGAAGGGAGGCAGAGAGGCAATCAGGCTACGAGGTGCCTCGCCTCACAGGTCACTCCACCTTCTGACCCGCGTCCACTGGTGGCTCTGGTGGGATGTCCATGAAGCGCCCTGCGTACGAAAGGCAGAGGGCAGAGGGAGGAAGGGAGGCAGAGAGGCAATCAGGCTACGAGGTGCCTCGCCTCACAGGTCACTCACTCCTCCTCCTGACCCGCGTCCACTGGTGGCTCTGGTGGAATGTCCATGAATCGACCTGCACGGGCGACAGAGGCGGAGAGGGCGAGGGGCAATCAGGTTACAGCGCAGCCTAAACAATGGTTCCACTTCTCCACCTGACCTGCGTCCACTGGCGGCTCCGGAGGGATGTTTATGAAACGACCTGCACAAGAACAGCGGGGAAGGGGGGCTTTGTGAGATGCAAAGGGCACGCGGAACATCATGAGACGGTGAGAAGGCATGAGAAGGCCATAGCTTTTGAAGAAGGCATGAGAAGGCCATAGCTTTTAAAGAAGGCACAAAACACACCAGGGCACAGGCTACATAGAGCGATGACACGAGGCAGGGAGGCAAAAGGGCAAAAAACCAGAGCAAAGGAAGAGCAGAATCAATGAGAAGCACTCCCCATGTTTCAGAGAAACACCCACCATATTTCAGAGCACCCACCATAAGTCAAGTTGGTGAGGTGCGAGTCTCCTCGTAATCTCTGTTTCCCATAGACAGACAATGGGCGATGGGAAGCAATGCACGGGGAGAGGAGTAGTTGTGCGGACAAGGAGAGAAACGCCGAGGAGAGGGAGAGGCGGTGAGGGGAGAGAGAGGAGGTGAGGGGAGAGAGAGGAGGTGAGGGGAGAGAGAGGAGGTGAGGGGGAGAGAGGCGATGAGAGGAGTGAGAGGGATTGAGGGGGAAAGAGGAGGTGAGGGGAGAGATAGGTGAGAGGAGGAGAGAGGAAGTGAGGGGAGAGAGATGCGATGAGAGGAGAGAGAGGTGTGAGGGGAGAGAGAGGAGATGAGGGAAAATAGAGCAATACCTAAAATCAATACATAGAGAGCAAGTGCGTGCATGCATGCATATGGTGGTGATTGCTTAAAGAAAGCATGCATACCTGCAGCGCGAGAGCATGCATACCTGTAGCGCGAGCGCGTGCATGAGGCTCATGGTGTGCACAAACTCGGAGCGAAACCGAACCCCACCCGGCTCCACAGGCTCCTCCTCGTTGCCCCCCTCGTCGAAGGATATGACCTGCAGAGGGCGAGAGGGGTGGGGAAAACGGAAAGGCCAGAGAGAGGTGCAGACGGAGGGAGAGGTGGGGGAGATGAGACGGGAGCCGAATTCCACAGCATGTATGCGCATTGCAACTAACTAAATTTGCTCACCTGAATTTGCGTTGAACGTGGCACATACAACAACGATTTGCTCACCTGGATTGCAGCGTCTCCCCATTTCGAACTGCATGAATGAGGGAGGGATGGAGGGCGGGCGAGGAGAGGAGAAGAGAAGAGAGGGCGAGGCATGGGAAGGACGAGACGTGGAAAGGACGAGACATGGAAAGGATGAGACAACGGACGGACCTCATTTGTGCGAGCATGGTTCGCCCCTCCCAGTATCTCTGCCACACCAACACAGGCCAAGTGTAAAACAAAAAGGGCCATGGTCAGACCAAAGGAGGAACTTGTGTACGGTACGGTACGTCTTCACAAGCACACACAGCGCAAACCAGAACGCGACAAACTTTCTGGCGCAGCTGTTGCCACATGGTAGCCAGCTAGAACTCTTCGGCTTGCCGTCAGTTTGTCAATTTCCTTGTCAGTCTGTCAAGTTTTGTGTCAAAAGATTGGCTGAGTGGCTTACCGCATAGCTGAGATTGGTGCGAAAAATTAGGACGAACGCGACGGCGCTGCTAAACACGGCATCTGCGACGGGAGCGCGAGCGCACGCAAGAGGAACGCAAAAAAAACATATTGTTGGGAATTGGTAGCGCGCACGCATGAGGGACGCGCTACGGAGTAGATTCGAGCAACCAGTCGATTTTTTAGTCGTGGGAAATAGCCGTCGGAAGGCTTTTGAGGCGCCTCAAATGTCACGCGAGGGACGCATGGGAAGTGCAGAGTCGCGGAATACGGCCGGAAAAAAATAGCGTCCCAGCTGTGACATCTCGCGGAGGATTCGGCAAAAAACGAGCCTATGACACTGGTGCAGAGGTTACTTTTGTCGAATCAAAGATTGGTGCAGAGGTTCTAATAGAGTGCACGTCTTACCAAACGAGCAAAGACTGCGCTGGTGCTTGGTAAAAGACGAGAGTGAATTCCGCAGCAGAGATGCGAGTTAAGAGAAGAGGGACAGTGGCAGGAGCGGGGGAGTGAGTGAGGGAGCGAGCGAGGAGGGGGACTGATATGGCGAGACGGAGTGAGGCTCACAAGGGGTGTGAGGGAAGGCGGGAAAGGAGGGAGTGAGTCTCACAGGGGTATGGGTGAAGAAAGAGGTGCTGGGTTCTGTCGACGAATATGAACGCGGAGAGAAGTCCGGCGAGGATTGCGCTAGGGAGGGCGAGTAGCGTCGCTCGCGGCCATTGCGAGCCGTAGAATCTCAATAGAAGATTCAACGCTCCGAATCTCTTCTCGTAGCTTATCATCCGACCTAGTCAAAGCGACGAATTCTAAGACGAATTCTAAGGAATAGACAGCGACGAAAGAGGGCCAAGTGAAAGCGACAAAATCTAAGGAATCGACAGTTAAAATGTAAGGTGCGAATCTGGCAGGTGACATAATATCGGAAACAAACAAGGCGACGAGCTCGTTCCGAAGTCGTTTAGTAGAGCAGCCGTTTAGTACCAAACACTAATTGATGAGCCAAGATGAGATGATACGACCAGCGGCTCCTCGGCTTGATCGGTTTGGTTGGTTGATAAGGCTTTTAGATGTGTTTCTGGCGGTTGGAATGCTGACCTTGGGGTTTGATTCTTGCGGGACCCGTCAATTGTGTTTCGGTTGCTACCAGGCAGTCCCTTACCAAAAGTGTACGCGTTATCTACTGGCTCTGTCGCTTACCAGACAATGGCAAATTATCGAGACAGATCTAGGGCTACTTTCAGCCTCATCAACAACAACAATCACCACAAACTCTTGGAAGCTTGCAGGGAAGTAAGCTCCAGCAAGAGAATTTTGTTAACAAGATACCATCCACTTAAATGAACACTACAATAAATATAAATGAAGACCAAGAGTCATTATCCTTCCTAATGGACCTTCCTCCCTACCTATCTAGCCTACTTGGCTGTGCTTCTGCCTTCCTACAGGACACAAAGCAAACAGCCTTCAAATTGCTGAAGGCTGTGCTGTGCCTCACGCCTCTAGATCAGCCTCTAGATCAGCTACTTCTGTCTCTGCTGCCCTGCCAGCTGCCCGCCAGGAGGAGGATCCTCCACAAGTCTTCATTTTCCCAGGTGGAGAAGCAGGCGGCACCATGGAGTGCTTCCCCTCACTGGTAATCCACTTCCCTGGCTAAAGACCTTAGCTGAGCAGCTGGAAGCGAGCAGCAGGTGGAGAAGAGAAGCTGGGGGGCCTCTGAAGGTCCTTATTGGATCAGGTTGGCTCAGGTGGACCGTAGTCGGGGGAAGGACTCACGAACACCGCTCACACAGGAGCTGGAAGGGAGTAGCAGGTGGAGAAGAGAAGTAGGGGCGCCACCGAAGGTCCCCTCCAGCTCACGTCGACCGTAGCCTTGGGAACGACTCGCGAACACTGCTCACACACGAGCTGGCAGAAGCGAGAAAAAGCTGAGCAGTCGCAGTCGCAGCAGCGGTGGCAGCAGCGGTGGCAGCAGCCGTGGCAGCAGCCGTGGCAGCTGCAGGCGCTCCACCCACCCCGCAGCACCCACCCTCCACGTCAGCCTCGGCCCGAACCTCCTCTTCAGCCTCGTCACCGCACATCACATCGACAACAAAGTCCTTGGCAGTTTCTCCCACCTTCTCTTCCACTCCTTTCTTCACGGTCAGCGGCCGGTGCTTAGCTAAAAGCCACTCCATTTCCTTCTCATCAATATGCGTAAACAACCCGTCCACAGGAAAAACACTTCTCGTAAGCGCCGTAACCAGCCGCTCATTAAACTTATGATGCAAATACACCACCGGAAGATCATTTGGATCAAAGCGAAACGGCTCCTCAATTTCCCGCGCGACCTCGTTGAGAATATAGAAGGAGAAGACGGAGAGGAGGGTGATAGCCGAGGCTAGGAAGGGGTCTGCTAGCCAGTCAGCCATGAGGAGAGGAATGACAAGCGCGTTGATGTGCAGGAGGAGAGCAACGCACTGTGCGAAGGGGAAGGGGAAGGGCGTGTTCACTATCTTGAGGGCATTTTCATATCCCAGCATGCCGTCTGGTTGGGAGAGCGGGGGATAGGGAGGGAAACGCAGAGAAGAACGGTTGAGAAAAGACGAGAAAAGGAGCAAGGGAGGGTGATTGCAGAGGCTAGGAAGGGGTCTGCTAGCCAGTCGGCCATGAGGAGCGGGATGATGAGGGCGTTGATGTGCAGGAGGAGAGCCACGCACTGCGCGAAGGGGAAGGGGAAGGGCGTGTTCACGATCTTGAGCGCATTTTCATACCCCAGCATGCCATCTGGTGGAAAGGAGGAAAAGGGGGAGGGAGAGAAGATGGGTTGGGAAGGATGGGAGACAATGATGGGGGGGTGACAAGAAATGACAAGCCCTCACATGCATCTAAAAAAAAAAAAAACTGCTTATTTTTGTGTGTGTGTGTGTGTGTGTGTGTGTTTTTTTTTTTTTTGTTTTCTGCGAGGCACCTAATTAACAAACATGCAACTGAGAGCACTTGGTATATTCTCGAAACAATAGGAGCATCTTGAGAGATCCCCCCCGCCATGCGGCGAGCCACGAGCGCCCGGTGCAGCCAGCACAACACCAGGTACACGCGGTCGCGGGAAGGTTCCAGGATGCTGCACTCCGTGGGGTTCACTCCCCCCAGCACTGCCAGCGGCAGCGCCCGCCAGTACTTCTCGAGATGGGGACGGTGGGCTCGCAGGAACACCAAAGACTTGTTTCCGCGCACTCGGTTCCACTCCTCCACCTCATCCGCGTCCACTGGTGGCTCTGGTGGGATGTCCATGAATCGACCTGCGTGGAAGAGAAAGAAAGAGAGGAAGAGAGGCAATCAGACTAATCAAGCCGCCTTAAGAATATAAGTTAGACAGGGAAGGGGAAGTCAACGCAGAAAACACAGCAAAGATATGGAGCAACGGTGAACAGCAGGGAGACGAAGCGCGCACCATAAGTTAGGTTGCTCAGGTAGGAATCTCCTCTTAGTCTCTGCTCCACACAGACGTTAATCAGAGCGATGGAAAGGGGTGGAATGGGGTGAGACAGGACACAGACGGAGAGAATAAGTCCCATGGACAAGTGTGAGGTGGGGAAGGAGAGCACAGGAAGCATTGCAGTGAGCAAGGGTTCGGAATGAGCACAGGTGAGACTTTGAAGCGAGAGATACAGCAGAAGCATCTCTGCAGTGTCCAAGCCCCTGCGACTCCAAAGAAGCCCCTGCATGCTGTATGCAGATGGTGGTGATGCTCATGCTTGAGAAAAGCCATGAGGCAATACCTGCATTGCAAGCGCGTGCATGAGGCTCATGGTGTGCACAAACTCGGAGCGGAACCGAATCCCCCCTGGCACCGACTCCTCAGCTCCCTCGTCGAACGAGATCACCTGCAAAGAGGGCGAGGAGAGGGGGGAAGGGAGGTGTAAGCAAGGCATTGTGAACAAGTGGTCTGGTGGGAGAGAGAACAGAAACAAAAACAATAGCATTAAATAAAAAGCCAACCCCATTGCGGATGGCATACAGAGGTGGCTCACCTGGATCGCAGCGTCTCCCCATTTTGAACTGCAGAGCACGAGAGATTAGTGGGAGGGAGGGAGAGAGGGAGAGGGAAAGGGAGAGGGAGATAGTTGAGAGCGAAGCACATTTTGAGCTCCACAGCGCATGAGACAGGGGGAGGGCAGACGGAATGGTGTAACGGAATCCCTTGAAAACCGAATGCAACGGAAGAAAGAGCAAAGCCTATGCGAGTGGCACGGCAAAGAAAGATTGCGGGAAGGACGGGACGACGGACGGACCTCATTTGCGCGATCATTGTTCTCCCCTCCCAGTATCTCTGCAAACGAAACGAGGTCGGAAAAACACAAAAAAGAGAGTTAGACGCACTGGAAACGCAAGACTGAACAAGCAGTGCAAGTCCGCAAGGGCGCGGAAGCTGGCGGCTGCTTTGGAGCATTGTGGGAACACCAGCCGCCGTTAGTAAGGAGATAGCTTCGGGCGAGCGGCGGGCTTACCGCGTAGCTGAGGTTGGTGCGGAAGATGAGGATGAAAGCGACGACGCCGCTGAATACGGCATCTGCGGTGGAAAACAGGGGTCGCACGAGGGTCGCACGAGGGAGGAGGCAGAGGACGAGGCACGAGGGTCGGAAGCAAATGAAGATTCAGACCGCAAAAATACTAAAAAAATGCATGAATTCAGCAGCGAGGCGACTTTGGGTGGTCTTGCATGGTGAATTTGTTGCGGATTTTTAGGTCAAATTGTAGACTTCTTCGAGGAAGGGTGTGAATGAAGGAGGGAGGAGAGCAAGTGAGGCTTACAGGGGTATGGGTGGAGAAATAGGTGCTCGGTTCTATCGACGAATATGAACGCGGAGAGTAGTCCCGCGAGAATGGCACTAGGCAGGGCAAGAAGCACCGCTCTCGGCCATTGCGAGCCGTAGAATCTCAACAGGAGATTTAACGCTCCAAATCTCTTCTCGTAGCTTATCATTGCAAGTGACGATAAGGGCCCAGAGTAAGTGACGAAATTTATAACCTAGCTTATATAAAGGCGGAGTGAATCCGGCAGATGCGGCATCACTAATTTGGAAACAAAAAGGGACGAATACCACCTGTTCTACAGCCATATTGCTTTATGAGAGCAGCTGGTTACCTACTGCCACTGCTGCTGGTGAGTTTTTTTTCGGGTTGATCGGTTTGGTTGGTTTGATAGGTGTTGAATCGTGTTGCTGACGGTTGGTGGAGGGTGATTGACCTTGGGATTCGGGTTCATCTCGCGCGAAGCGCGTCCTTGAAGTTTGGTTTTGTTGCTGCGGGCACCGCGGGGAAAAGTTTAGACACGTTACTGTACGCGGGGAAAAGTCGAAGGACTTCATTCACCTATTCCTGGAGCTTGTTGCCTTTGAAGCTGCTTGAATGGGGCGAAATTAATAGGGAGAAGATCATATTGGGGCCGAACATTAGCAGGGAAGTGTCCAAATTAGGGCCGGAAAGCCGAACCTGGAGTTTTGGAGTTAAAAACCGATAGGTTCCATACTCGCGTAAGTGATTTCACTTGTCATAAGCTCTGACCATCCCGCGCGTCGTAACTGATCAACAGTAAACTTGACGTTTTATGTCGATATAACCCAGTAATTTCCACTCGTTTGGGCAGAGTAGAAAAACTATAACCCTTAGGAAACTGTTAGGGCAGAGTAGAAAAACTATAACCTTTAGGGAAGCTGGAAGCATTTTCGGGAGGGATCAACCCTAAACACGGGAACCAGCCTGGAATTTAGGGTTGATGCCTCCCCGAGTCGCATCCATTTCCGACGGGGTTTTATTTTTTGTCAGCAAAAATTATGGTTTTGTTGCTGAAAACGATTCTGTACTTCTGTTTTAAATTGTATAAACAAGACGAAACCACCCCCAGAGGAATACGACGCGAGCTTCGTAATAGGCGGCGATCTTAATGTAAACCAGAACATTGGAACAATAAAGTCGCAAGTTAGCAATTTCCTCTAACGCTTGGTTCGGAACTTCGGCCCAGCCACCTGGGCAGCCCCGGGGTTATATCCAACGGTTGGGATTAACCTGGCCCTAAATTGGTCACTTTCCTGCTAATGTTCGGCCCCAGTTTGATCTTTTCCCAAATTAATAGCAACACCAATTGCAATGCAACTAGAAGCGCAAAGTGTGGCTGACGTGGATTATTGGGCAAAATATACAAGTGTTGCAGGGTATCATCCTTGGAATCAAACGGCTTTTTTTTTGGGCAGAACATTTGACTGTCACATTTTGTTCCTTGTGTTGTAAGCCCCATGCACAGCCAGTGCACTCTTCCTGCAACAGACAGGTGAGAACGAGCTTTGGCAATGGACCCAGAGCCAGTTACTGGCTCATATACAATCCGCTTCCATTGACACAATAAAATAAGAATAACGACCTAGGTGGTCATCGTTCCGTTTTACTGCCCTATGCATCCTGCTATGCTATTACCTTCCTAGACTCCACCAAGCTCACCTAAAGGGCCCTAACTAGACAGCCATCATATTGCCGAAGGCTGTGCGCTGCAATATCACCTACCACTGTCTCTGCTGCCACTGTCGCTCCCCAAACTGCTTGTTAGCATGAGGAGCTCCTACAGGCCTTCTTTTCCTCGGCAGAAGCAGCAGGCGGCAGCAGGAGCTTCCACTCGCTCTGTTCGCTTCGCCGGCTTCGAAAGAAAGACCTAGGCAGCGCAGCAGGGGGGCCGCTGAAGGTCCTCGTCAGGTGGACCGTAGACTGGGAAAGGTCTCCCCAATGCTGCTGACTTTTGAGGCGACTCAAAAGTTGGTTCAAGTGGACCGTAGTCTTGGAAAATTCTCCCGAACGCTGCTCACACAGGAGCTGGCAGCAGCGAGGAACTGCTGAGCAGCCACAGAGGCAGCAGCACTAGCAGCAGCAGCACTGGCAGCGGCAGCTGCAGGTGCCCCTCCCACTCCACAGCACCCACCTTCTGAGCCAGCCTCGGTCCGAACCTTCTCTCCAGGCTTGTCACCGCACTGCACATCGATGACACAATCCTTGACACCCACCTTCTCATCCGCTCCCTTCAACACAGTCACCGGCCGGTGCTTAGCTAAAAGCCACGCCATTTCCTTCTCGTCAATGTGAGTAAACAGCCCTTCCGCAGGGAAAACGCTTCTTGAAAACGCAGTGACAAGCCGCTCGTTGAACTTATGATGCAGGTACACCACAGGAAGATCGTTCGGGTCGAACCGGAAAGGCTCTTCAATTTCTCTCGCCACTTCGTTGAGAAGATAGAAGGAGAAGACTGAAAGGAATGTGATTGCAGATGCGAGGTAGGGGTCTGCTAGCCAGTCGGCCATGAGGAGCGGGATGATGAGGGCGTTGATGTGGAGGAGGAGAGCTACGCACTGTGCGAAGGGGAAGGGGAAGGGCGTGTTCACTATCTTGAGCGCGTTCTCGTACCCCAGCATGCCGTCTGGTTGGTGAGAGCCGGGGGAAATAGGGGAAGGAGGGAGGATGGGTTGGGAAGGATAAGAGGTAAGGATGGGGAAGTGGTGAAGAGATAAAATGCAGTTTTTTTTTTTTTTTTTGTTATTTGTATTTTTTTTCCGGGTAGCAGAAAAGAAAAAACAACTACGCCCTCACCTGACAACACTTGGTATATTCTGGAAACAATAGGAGCATCTTGTGAAATCCCTCCCGCCATGCGGCGAGCCACGAGCGCCCGGTGCAGCCAGCACATCACCAGGTACACACGATCGCGGGAAGGTTCCAGGATGCTGCACTCTGTAGGATTCACCCCCCCCAGCACTGCCAGCGGCAGCGCCCGCCAGTACTTCTCCAGGTGGGGGCGGTGGGCTCTCAAGAAGACTAGGGACCTGCGATGGCATGGGGGGAAGGAGGGATGGGAGCTTAGGAGTGCAACCCAATGACAGTTATCAAAACCAACCAAGCCTAACCCAAACAGGACCAACTTATGACAGCACAGCACTCACTTGTTTCCGCGCACTCGGTTCCATTCCTCCACCTCATCCGCGTCCACTGGTGGCTCTGGTGGGATGTCCATGAATCGACCTGCATGGGTGAGAGAGGCGGAGAGGGCGAGGAGGAGAGTGAAAGAGGCGGAGAGGTAATCAGATCAAGGCACAGACAGAAGCAAGGCAAGGAGCCGGAGCAACAAGAGAAGGGAACGAGACAAGGCAGAGAGGCACGGGGCAAAGACGTGGGGCAACGGATCATGGCAGGGAGTTTGGAGCACACACCATAAGTTAAGTTGCTGAGGTACGAGTCTCCTCTTAATCTCTGCTCCACATAGACGTCAGTCAGGGGGATGGAAAGGGGTGGGATGGAGTGGGATGAAGACATTGGAGGAGTGAAGAATTGGCACAGACAATCGCGCGGTGAAGGAGCAGAGCCCAGGAAGCATTTCAGCGAGCAAGAACTTGGCATGGGCAGGACATCTTAGTGAGAGTAATCGACAAGGCAATACCTGCAGCGCGAGCGTGTGCATGGATGCATACATATGCTGCGGATACAAAAAAGGCATGCTGCATACCTGCAGCGCGAGCGCGTGCATGAGGCTCATGGTGTGCACAAACTCGGAGCGGAATCGAATCCCCCCTGGCACCGGCTCCTTGGCTCCCTCGTCAAACGATATCACCTGCGCCGGTGAGACGGGTGAGAAAGAGAGGCGGAAAGAGTGGAGGGGGAGATGAGACGGGATGCACGGGTGCAAGCCAATGCGGGAGGAAGCCAGGAGAATGGGTGAATCGATATGAAAATGCGCCCAGAACGAACATAGGCGGGGCATGTGTGCGCTAGGAGCGAGCAGGCGTGGGCGCACAACGAACGAAGCTGACTGGCTAAATGGAGAGATGGCTGAAGCGGCTGCTGTTTGCAGCTGCGATGGCTCACCTGGATTGCGGCGTCTCCCCATTTCGAGCTGTACAGCACGAGAGAGAGGGAAAGGGAAAGAGACGAGAGGGAGTGGGTGAGTTGAAACGAAAGCGGAAAAAGGAGCTGCGTAAAAAAAAAGAAGAAACGGGACGGAAGATCAAACGGGACGAAGGCTATGGTAGTGGCGCGGCAGGGAAGGATTGCGGGAAGAACGAGACGACGGAGACGGACGGACCTCATTTGCGCGAGCATCGTTCTCCCCTCCCAGTATCTCTGCCACACAAACACACGCCACAGACAGAAGAAGACAACGTGCTTGTGAGGATGAATTGGAGTTAAGCTGGAACGAAAATAGCGAGTCTGCGCGGTGCGAAAAGCCAAGGATTGCTTTCGAGGATTCCCACCACACAGCGGCTATGATAAATCCGACTCGGAATTTTTTATCCTAATTCAGCCATTTTATCACGTTCCACAAAATTTTGTCCGATTGTTTGTCGCGCCAATTCGTGGAGCGGTCTCATCCCGTCGTCAAGCTCCGGTCGAGCGGGCTTACCGCGTAGCTGAGATTGGTGCGGAAGATGAGGATGAAGGCGACGACGCCGCTGAATACGGCATCTGCGGTGGAACATCCGGGACGAAGGCATGAAAGACGAGGGACGAGGGACGAGGGACGAGGGACGAGGAGCAGGGACGAGAGAAGAAAATTCAGGCCAGTAGAAAGACATCCTCAGATTACGGGGAACAGACGGAGTGGAAAACGAATGACATCAGCAAAGAGGCGATTTTGAGCGGCCATGAGGCACGCGGGCTGAGATGGTTGAGAACCCTCAACCAATTCTCAAAATTCTTAGAGCGGAGGGTGTGAGGGAGGGAGGGGGTGAGGAGATCGAGGCTCACAGGGGTATGGGTGGAGGAAGAGGTGCTGCGTTTTATCGACGAATACGAAAGCGGAGAGCAGTCCGGCGAGGATTGCGCTAGGTAGGGCGAGCAGCGTCGCTCGCGGCCATTGCGAGCCGTAGAATCTCAATAATAGATTAAACGCTCCGAATCTCTTCTCGTATTGTATCATGGCTGCGCGCCAGTAGAAGCCTAATGAAAGAGATGATTGCGAATGAACAGAGAGCTACTACGTGGCATGAATTCGGCAGATGACTAATAAATAATCGTCGAAACAAGGCTAACAGCAGGGTCAGGAGTTCGTCTCCTAATAAATAGATATTTTGTCAGCGCAGGTGCTTCTGGATGCTCCTTGGCAATCCCTAAAAATTGGTTCATTGGTTGGTTGGCGGTTTGGTTTGGTTGGTGGGTGTTGCTTCGCCATGCGCGTTGGTGGTTCGGGCAGCAATCGGGCTAAAAACTGGTGGTGGTCTGGTCTGGTCAGGTGCGGTCTCCCCTGGCCAGTCAGTTGGCTGACTGCCCGATCTCTTGTGAGATTGGCCCTGCCGCGTTTCCAGGCCACCTTCAACGTGGATGCATCCACCTGCCCCCCGACGACGGGCATCGAAAAAATCATAAGCATTAAGAACTGGCTGTCGATTCGCTGACGGGCAGCGCTCAGAAATTGACAAGCGATGTGACAATGTTTTGCAATGCCCTTGCGGAACGAAACCTTCGTCACACCAGGGCAGGGATTGCAAGCTTGGAAACGCGTCGCGCTGCGTGGTGGCGGCTGACGTACATGTTCGGCGCAGATTTCTGCAGCTGTGTGGATGAGTGTGGCGGAGAACCATCAACTCCTTGGACCCAAGCCGGAATTCAAGGGTGACGTGGGGCTGACACGAGGGCGGGACGCGCTGGAACCGAGGGGTCGCCGATCTCCAATTGCAGAGGAAATTCACTCGCTTGATGCAGCGAAATTGTTGGATAGCTCGGATCTCAAGGGGAACTTGCACTGTACAAGGTCCAGCTCACTGTCCAGCCCTTGAAAGCCTGGAAAGTTCTTCCGCCGAATAATGTCGCTCGGTCAGTCGTTCAAAGCCGAAAGGTCGCACGCGAAGAGGCGCTCCCGCTGCTGCGACGAAGATGGTGCCTGCCGCGTCCCATTCTTCCGATTCCAATTGGCTTACGATCGCAATTTCTGTGGGCAAGGTTGTCGCGGGTGGATAGAAAAGATGGTTCGTTTAGGGATGTCTCGCGTTTAAGCATGCAAGTCTACTTCACTACCATGGTTTTACCATACCGCAAGAGCAATGCACACATACATGCTGGTCACCGTGCACCTGCTACAAACAAAAGAAGCCTAATATTATTAACAATTTTTATTCCTTGTGTTGTTCCACTATTTCCAAGTACAATTGCGTCTTTGGAGGTCGAAAAAAAGAAGTGAGCATCGGTTACTGAGACGAGAATGGCAGCCTCATCCCAAGCCCCAGCTGAGCGTGCATGAACCCAACTTCTGCAAATACCAGTAGCACCAAATGCCAATCCCCAACAAAAAAACTTGAGCCAACATGGGCTCCTCACACAGCACCTCCTCCAGCACCATCTGGTGGAGCAGATTGTGACCCACCTGCCATTCCACGTCAACATGAAGGCAATAATAAAAGGCAGGCACAGTCAGCAAGAAAGCTCATTGCCAACCACAGAACGCAGCCTTGAGGACACAAGAACACCTACCAGAACTTCCAAACCCAAAAGAACCGCAACATAAGTGAAGAAAAAAAAAAAAACAGGAAACTACAGGGGTGTAGTGGTACGCGTATTACCTGCAGCCCCCTGCCTCGCCCGCGCCCGCGTGGGCTGCCCGTTCCCCGTCCACCTGTCTGCACGAGACTGATCACTCGTGTGCCCCGGCCCTGCACATGGGGTGCATGCATAGTGCGTGTGAGTGGATGTGGTGGGTGAGGAGTGGAAGAGTTGAGCGGACAAGAGGGCATCTCAGGGCAGATCACCCGCGCGGGCTGCCCGTTCCCCGTCCAGCTGTCTGCACCAGGCTGGTCACCCGCGTGCCCCGGCCCTGCCCAAGGGGTGCAGATACAGTGTGTGCCAATGAATGCAGGGATATGGAGAGTGGCAGGGTGAGGGGACAAGGGGATGCCACAAATTATGTGTGTGTGTGTGTGCACGTGTGGGCACACGCGCGTGCGTGCGTGCGTGCATGAGTGAGTGAGTGAGTGAGTGCGAGCGTGCGTGCGTGCGTGCGTGAGTGAGTGAGTGAGTGAGTGAGTGCGTGCGTGCGTGCGTGTGTACACAAAAGTTTCTTCGGATAATCAAAGAGCACAAAGTGAAACACGCACCATCAAAACACAACAAATCCACAAGTCTACACGGGTCACATCTCACTCACCCTAGCACCTCGGCCGCGGCGGGGGGAAGTAGCAGCTCCAAATCGGGCCTGCCTGGCAGCAGCGCGCCGAGCCGTCTTCCAGCACCCCCCCCTGCACCTGCCTACTCATAGTTCTCAAAAGCCACTCACCCTCGTGCCTCCAAGTCCACACACATGTTTCACATATTACTCACCCTTGCACCTCGGCCGCGGCGGGGAGAAGTAGCAGCCCCGAATCGGGCCTGCCTGGCTGCAACGCGTTGAGCCGCCTCCCCTTCCCCTGCACCACCCTCTCCCGCCTCCCAAGAGCATCAACCTCGTACCATATATCACTCACCCTTGCGCCTCGGCCGCGGCGGGGGGAAGTAGCGGCCCCAAATCGAGCCTGCCTGGCAGCAGCGCGCTGAGCCGCCTCCCCTTCCCCTGCACCGCCCGCCTCTCCCGCCTCCCCACGCCCTCCCCCTCGCCCCGCCGTTGCTGCCGCCATGGCGGCCGCCCTGCCTCTCAGCCCTGCCGTGGACCTCCGGGGTCGGGCGGCCACTCCTCCTGCTGCCGCTGTATCAGCGGCGGCTGTTCCTGCAGTGGCCATTCCTGCTGTAGCCGCCTCTGCTGTACCTGTTCCCGCTGTGGCCGCTCCTGCTGTGCCCACCCCTGTACCTGGCTGCTGAGTTGCTACTCCCTCCACTGCCGCTGTTCCACCAGCAGTGCCAGCAGTACCGACAGCACCGGCAGCACCAGCGGTAGCATCAGTAGTGGCGGTTTCAGCAGCGACAGGTGAAGCAGGGGCAGCAGGCACCGCAGCAGAGGCATCCCCAGGCGTCCCTTCAGGTGCTGCAGCAGGTGGGCCTTCAGGAGTCCCTTCTGGTGCCGCCGCCCCTCCGCCTGCCTCTGCTGCTGCTCCCCCAGCAGCTCCTGCAGCAGCACCGCCAGACTCCCCAAGTCCACCTGCCTCCTGCTGCTGTCCCTCCCCTGATTTACCCTCCTCCCCTCCCTCCAGCTCCATTCCCCCCTCCTCTCCCACATCCGCCATTTCATGCTCATCTCCCCCTCCCCTTTCCCCTCCCCCCTCCCCTCCCCCTCCCCCCCCCCCCCATCCCCTTCCCCCTCCCCCTCAAGCATGCCCCCTTCCCCTTCATACTCCTCGTGCCCGCCCTCCTCCCCCTCCCCGTCCGCCCCCTCCCCCATGGCCTCATCCCCCTCCTCCCCCTCCCCCATGCCATGCTCGCCCCCATCCTCTTCCTCTCCCAAACCCTCCACGTGAATTTCTGGAACCTCTGTTGCCCCACCTGTATCCCCTGCCCCCATTCCACCCAACTCCCCTTCCTCTCTTGCCTCTGTGTTCTCCCCACCTGCATCTGCATCTCCTTCCCCCCCAGACCCACCTTCCCCAGGCACAAGAGCTGCAGAATCGCCTGCACCTGTGGGGGTCAGTGGAGGGGTGGGGGTGGGTGAGCGGGGAGGAGTGGCAGGAACAGCAGCGGCATCGACAGCAGCAGCATCGACAGCAGCAGCATCGACAGCAGCAGCATCATCACCTGCATCACCAGAAGCACCACCCACAGCACTAGCAGCACCCGCTTCACCACCTTCCCCTCCTGCTCCTTCCGCTTCTCCTACTGCTGCTCCTTCGTGCCCCTGCCCTTCACTCCCCACCCCTGCTGCTCCCACCAGAACACCCTCCCCATCCACACCTGCTCCCTGCTCTCCCTGCATCTCCTTCTCCTCTGCCCCTTCTCCTGCCGCCCCCGCACCTGCCTCGGCCACCAACCCCACTTGACCGGTTTGCACCGCTTCACTCGCCCCTGCGCCTCCCTTCTCCCCACCCTCAACCTCCATCCCACCTGCAGCAGGTGCGGCCTGAACCTCGTCCGCAGGTTCGGCAGACACTGGAACGGCAGCAGGGGGTGAGGGGGTGACAGCGGCAGCAGGGGGAGCAGCAGCAGCAGTGTCTGCTCCTGGTGTTGATGCTGCTGCTGGGGCACCAGAAACACCAGGCCCTGGCTGTGCCACAGACGCACCCCCTCCGCTTGCTCCCGCTGAGCCTGCCCCCCCTGCTGCGCCCCCAAACGAAGGTCGCATGATTCGCCTGTGCTTCACTCCCCGCCCTCCCCTCCCTGCCCCTGCCCTGCCTCCCCCCCGCCCAGCAGTAGCACCAGCAGCAGACCCCGCTGCTCCTTCTCCCCCATCCCCACCCTCATCACCTTCCTCCCCACCGTCCCCCTCTCCTTCCGCCTCCACAGCTGCTGGAGCAACAGCAGAGGGAGTTGCAGCGGAAGGAGCAACAGCACCTGCAACAGGAGCGATTGTAGCAGCAGGAATAACAGCAGCAGCAGGAGCAGCAGGTACAGCAGCTGCTGTAACTGCTGTTGTCAGTGCAGCAGCATCAGCGGCAGGAGCCGAAACAGCAGGAGCAGCAACAGGAGCAGCAGTCGCGGTGGCAGCAGCAGGGGCAGCAGCCTTGGCACGAGCCAGTGACTGCATGAGCATGGCACGCAGCTTGCTGGGGTCACTGGCAAAACGAGGGGCAGCAGCAGCTGCAGCGGTACCAGCAGCAGCACGGAGAGGAGATGTGGGCGGAACAGCAGCAGCAGCAGCACTCGGCACACCAGTAGCAGCAGCAGCAGCAGCAGTAGCAGCAGCAGCAGCAGCAGTAGCAGCAGCAGCAGCAGCAGCAGCGGGTAGTGTCCAGAGGCCTAGCCTTTTTCTCCACCAAACCCTTCACCTCTCCTTCCTCAATGCCCTCCTCTAACATTGCATCCTCCTCCTCCTCCCTCTTCCTCTTCCCCTTCTCCTCTGCCCCACTCACCCCACCAGCTGCCCCCTCCACCTCCATTGCTCCTGCGACCTTCGCCTCAGAAACACCTGCGGCTCCTCCCGCCTTCTCCCCACCTGGAACCTTCGCCTCGGAAACACCTGGGGCAGCCACGGCAACGCCTGCGTCACCAGCAGCAGGGACAGCAGGGACTAGAGCAGTGGCAGCAGGAGCAGCAGCGGCCGCAACTGAGACCACAGCTGCAGGAAGAGCCGCAACAGGAGCAGCAGTCGCTGCAGGAGCAGAGGCAGGAACAGTCGTAGGAGCAACAGGAGCTCCAGCAACAGCGGCAGGCGCAGCAGCAGCAGCAGGAACAGCAGCAGCAGCAGCAGCAGCAGGAGGAGGGGGAATGACACCGCCAGCCTCTGCTGTTTTCTGCATGGCTCCAAAGACAGTGTCATATTCCTGCGATGCAGCTCTCAGCTCGGATACCACTGCCGGCTCTTCAAAGGCCCCCTCTTTGCTCTGCGCGGGGAGAAGGGTGAGTCATAGACAGAGTCATGTAGTGACAAAAACTGAGAGCACGTAGCGCATTTTTTATGATTCAGGAGTCAAAACGCGGACGAGTAATAGGAAGGGAGGGGAGTGAGCCGTTGGGTCAAAGAGACACGATAAAGCGTCAGAGGCTGGTAGAATGAGTGCAGAGGGAGGAGAAGGGAGGTGCAGAGGGAGGAGAAGGGAGCGGGAACAGGAAGAGGAAGGGAGAGAGCAAGGGAAAAGAGAAGTGGAAGAGAGGGGCGGGAGGGTTTGAGGGGGGTTGTGGGAAGCGAAGAGACTAGGGGCAGGTGTGATACCTGTTGCTGCTTGATCCAGTCTTCCACCGCCACCACTCGCACAGAGATAGTCTCGTAGCTCTGTGCCCATTGCATTAGGGGGAAGGAGGAAAGGTGTGAGTGCGCTTGCCATAGCTTGCGTTCCTGCTTGAGGTTCTTGGTCCCACGAGGAAGGAATCGTCCCACCACACCCAGCCCCACCCAGCCTCACACCAACTAACACCCCCATTGCACCCATGCACACCTCCTTGGCACGCTGAAACGAGTCGACGATGCTCTTGAGGTTCTTGGCGCGCCTCTCCTTCTCTGCTGCCAGCTGCCTCTGCAGCAACTGCACCACTCGGGAGAACGGCCGCAGGCCAAGAAGCAGCAAGGAAGAGATAGTCGGAAAGAGAATGGATGAACACATCGAATCTACGTATAGAGTCACTGAATTCAAGAAACGCTAAAAGAAAGAAAGAAAAAATATCAAGCTCAACTAATGTCCCATGCTATTGATTATACAACATATCACTCAAGCCTCCACACACTGAGGCTTACCTGAATACGGGAGTTCAGAATCCCCTCGGCCACCGCCGCCTGCTGCTTCCCAGAAGCTGCCTCCGCGGCACTCTTCCCCTCCGCTGCACCCGCTGCTGCCGTCTGCTCCTGAAGCCTCTTCTCCAGGTCAGCGACTCGCTTCTGAGACGTTTCAGAGGTCGTCTGGAGCTTCTTCTCGAGGTCGGCAACGCGTTTCTCGAGCTCTGCGGCTTTGGCTTTGGCTGCCTCTGCCTCCTTGCTCTGCTGCTCCTTGGCCTGCCGCAGCTCCTCTTTCTCCTTGCTCAGCTGCTCGCCGTTGCGCTGCCATGGTGGGAAGAGACAGAGAGAACGAAGGATAGGCAGAAAATTGGACATGTCAGATGTTAACAAGAAAGCAGATCCTTGAAGCACCTAAGAAAAGCAGCTCCCTCCTTGGGGCTCTATATAGCCCACCCCGCATACCGCACAACCAAGCCTATTATGGATCCAAGCCCAGGACTCATTATAGATCACCTTGAATTTGATGGCTGTGTTTCTGAGCTTGGCAAACTCTGTCTTGTGCTTTGCCTGCCAGGTTCGCACCACCACCACATGCACCCCATACACCAAACCACACACCCCAAACACCCCACATACCACACAACCCATCCAACATAGCATGCACCCCGCCCCTCACCAAGCACATCCGCCCACCGCACATCCCACACACACACAAACACCAGAGGAATCACATGTAAACAGATACATCAATACTGCAACCAATAAAACAGCAAGGACGAGACGTGAAGACAAAAGAAACCTCGAGTTTCAGATGCATATGACACTCCCTGTTGGGGGCAAGGAATGTTTACCTCCGCTCTCTCCCCCACCCCTTCCCACTCCAACCTCCCCTAACTCCACCACCCAACCTCGCACCCCCACTACCCTCCCAACCCCCCACACCTCGTTTTCCTTAGCCGCCTCCAGCTGCTTCTTCAGCTCCTCCCCTCCCTCCGTCCTCTCCTTCTCCAGCTTCTCCTTCTCTGCCGCCAGTGCCGCCCGCTGCGCCTCCAGCCCTGCCAGCTCAGCTCAGCAGCAGCAGCCCACCCCACTCACCTCATTCTCTTTCGCCGCCTCTAATTGTTTCTTCAGCTCCTCCCCTCCTGCCGTCCGCTCCTTCTCCAGTTTCTCCTTCTCTGCCGCCAGTGCCGCCCGCTGCGCCTCCAGCCCCGCCAGCTCAGCAGCCGCCCGCTTCTTCTCGGCCTCCTTGTCCTTTTCCGCAGCCTCTGCTGCCGCCTTTGCTGCTGCCAGCGCACCCCTCGCCTCCGAGAGCTCCTGCTCCAGTTTCTCTGCTTGCTTCTGCTCAGGAAAAATCGAGAAGGAAAAACAACCAGTCAGTTTCTGAGGTGCCTCAAGAATTGCTTCTGCTGCTGCCTTTGCTGCTGCCAGGGCACCCCTTGCGTCTGAAAGCTCCTGCTCCAGCTTCTCCGCTTGCTTCTGCTCAGGAACAACCGAGAAGGAAAAACAACCAGTCAGTATGTTAGGAAAGTTGCTTCTGCTGCCACCTTTGCTGCTGCCTGCCAGGGCGTCCCTCGCCTCTGAGAGCTCCTGCTCCAGCTGCTCCGCTTGCTTCTGCTCAGGACAAAAGGGGGGGAAAAAAAGACAGCCGATCAGCCAGCCAGTCAGTCTGTTTTTTTTCTTCAGTCACTCAGTCAGTCAGTCCGTCCGTCCGAGGGAAGATTGGGATCCAGTGCGCTGAAAACAGGACAAAAACTCCTGTTTCCTCCCCACCACCTCACCCAACCCCTCTCTCACCCCCTTAACCTGCAGCTGGTCCTGCAGCTGCTGATACTCCTCCAGCAGCTGCTGCACTCCGTAACCTTCTTGCTTCAAACCAAGGTGCAAAATTTCGGCAAGTGTAAAATACGGTCCGTTTTTTACGCTCGTATTTTACGGTCAGATTTAAAAAATTCGGCCGTTTTTTTGTTAGAGGTTTTGTGACATTAAAAATATTAAAAAAAAAAAAAGTAGACACGACTTTGCTCCTGACCAGGATAGCAAAGAAGCAATACAATGCTAACAGAGTGTCTTGGTTGCGCTCGTTTGACCCTCCTCCTCCTCCCCCCCAGACTCTTCATACTCTCCTCCCCGGAGTCACCGTTCTACTACAGTCCCACTGATAAATCCCCTCTATCTTCTTCATGGCTGGTCCATCCGATCGAGGTTCATGGTTGGAACCAATACTTTAAAATATGTGTAAACCAACTGGTTTCAAGGTTTCTGCTGGAAAAAACGGCCGTTTTTTTGCACCACATTAAAATTATCACTTTTTGGCGTTTTAAAACGTTTTAAACGGCCGAAAAATACGATAGCGTTTTATACGCCAGAATTTCAATCTTTCGGCCGTTTTTTTGCACCTTGCTTCAAACCCTAGCCCCAGTGAGCCCAGACCAGTGAAGAGCCCTAACGCCAGAACCCTTGTGTCTCTCACCTCCTTAACCTGCAGCTGGTCCTGCAGCCTCTGATACTCCTCCACATCGATCGCCTTGTACTTCTCCAGCAGCTGCTGCGCTCCGCAACCTGAAACTTTGCACCTTAACCCCAGAACCCTAGCAGCTGAACCCCTAGCCCAATACCCCACATCCCTCTCTCATCTCCTTCACCTGCAGCTGGTCCTGCAGCCGTTGATACTCCTCCACATCGATCGCCTTGTCGTTCTGCAGCAGCTGCTGTCCCTCCTTTCCCTCGCCCAAACCTGTGAAATCCAGAGCCCTAGCCACCCCAGAACCCTTGTGTCTCTCACCTCTTTCACTTGCAGCTGGTCCTGCAGCCGTTGATATTCCTCCACGTCGATCGCCTGCACTTCTCCAGCAGCTGCTGTCCCTCCTTTCCCTCGCCCAAACCTGTGAAATCCAGAGCCCTAGCCACCCCAGAACCCTGTGTCTCTCACCTCTTTCACTTGCAGCTGGTCCTGCAGCCGTTGATATTCCTCCACGTCGATCGCCTGTACTTCTCCAGCAGCTGCTGTCCCTCCTTTCCCTCGCCCAAACCTGTGAAACCGCGAACCCTAGCCACCCCAGAACCCTGTGTCTCTCACCTCTTTCACTTGCAGCTGGTCCTGCAGACGCTGATACTCCTCCACATCGATCGCCTTGTACTTCTCCAGCAGCTGCTGCACTCTGCAGCCACATAGCTCAAATCAAATCCCTAGTCCCAGAACCATAGCCCCAGGAACCCGTGCAGCACACTCCCCACCCTCCCTCTCACCTCCTTAACCTGCAGCTGGTCCTGCAACCGCTGGTATTCCTCCACATCGATCGCCTTGTACTTCTCCAACAGCTGCTGCTGCACTCTGTAACCACATAACCCTAAAGCCTAGCCCCAGAAGACCCTAAACCCGGTGTCGTTCATACCTCTTTCACTTGAAGCTGGTCCTGTAACCTCTGATATTCCTCCACATCGATCGCCTTGTACTTCTCCAGCAGCTGCTGCACGCGCCGCTGCCACCGCCCCGCCTCCTCCCTCGCACTCTCCACCTCCCTCTTCCCCGCAGCCACCTCCGCCTCCCTCTTCTGCACCGCAGCCTGCAGCGGCCCCACCTGCTGCAGAGCCTGCCGCGCCTTCTCCCGCCACTCCGCCGCATCCGCAAAGTTCCTCTGGCTCTCATCCCTCAGCATCGCGTTGCTCTCTCTGAGTAAATTCACCTGCGCCACCTGCGCTTTCAGTGCCGCGAATTCCCCCTCTGACTGCGCAGAGGCCGCCCCCCGCGCGCGCTCTTCTCTCAGCTGCTGCTGTGCTTCCTGTGCTTCTCTCTCTGCTGCTTCCACCTGTTTTGTCAGCCGCAGCCGCTCCTGCTTCAGCAGAGCAAGCTCCATCTCAGAAGCTTCCTTGGAGCGTCGCAGGAACCGCACCACCTCCTGTAGCTCTGCCAACCCTCCATCTTCCCCCACCCCCCTCCCCCTCCCCCTCCCCCTCCCCCTCCCCCTTCCCCTTCCCCTTCCCCTTCCGCTGCCGCTGCCGCCGCCTCTCCTTCTCCTCCTCCCGTCTCACCTGCAGCTTCTCCTGCCCCTCCCACTGCTCCTAACCCCTTACCCGGCGACGGGGAGGCACCCACTCTCCTCCTCCCCACACCAGGCGAAGCAACCCCACCCGCCTTCCCCGGCGTCCCCACACGCAGCGCCTCAAGCCGATCCAGCAGAATCACGTTCTGAGCCTCAACCTCCCTTGCTTTCCCCTCTGCAGCAGCCCGTGCTGCCTCCAGGCCCCCCTTGACCGTCTCCCACTCGGCCCGCAGGGAGGTGAGCTCTGCTTCGGCCTTTTCTGCCTTGCTGCGCCACTCGCGCTGCCCCGCCTGGGCCGCGTTGAGTGTCTGACTCACGCCGTCCAGCTGGCGGATGGTGTCTGCTTGCAGCACCACCTGGTGGCCAGGAAAGCAGCGAGGAGTGAACGGGTGAAGAGGGGGGAGGGGAGAGTAAAAGTGAGTAAAACAGAAACAAAAACGAAAAGCAAAAGTAGACAAAGGATTAACGAGAAGCTAAGCGAGATGAGAATGGCCTGGAAGCACCAGTTTGTCGCTCACATCACAGTTGGTCCGCTGCAACTCTAAAACACTTCACCAACGCCAGCGTGCTGTACTGTACCCACCTGTCGTTCATAATTGGTCTGCGCCTCCCTCCACTTCTGCCTCATTTCCGACGCCTCCTTTGCCTCTGACTCCACTCTCCACTCTATCTCCTCCACCCGCGCCCTGCACACAGGGGACACAGACAGAGACAGACGGCAGGGGTGAGGGCGGAGACAAGCAATGAAGACGTGAGAAGCGAACTCAGTGAAAGTGCCAATACAAAGATGTACAGAAATGCAGTGCAGGAGGGACACGTTCATGCGTGCACAATGTTGAAGCTCAAACGCAATCTGCTCAATTTTGCTGTGCTTTCTTGGCCACCGTCTACCACATTCCATCCTACCCCATTCCACTCTACTCCACCCCACCCCACCGCACTCCACCCACCTGAATGCGTCTCTCTCCACAGCAGCAGCCTCCAGCTTCCGGCTGACATCAGCAAACGCCCTCTCATGCTCCTCCGTCAGCCCTGTAGCAGCTGCCGCAGCATCAGCAGCCCGCTTCTCTGCCTCTTTCACCCTCCCCCTCAGCTCCTCCACTGCTGCCACTGCTGCAGCTCTCTCCTTCTCAGCCTCCTCCTTGAACGCGCTGTGCTGCTGCATCATCCGCTCCAGTGCCTCCTCATTGGCCTTTCCAATTGCCTTGTACTGGCGGTGAAAGGGGGGGAGGGGCGGAAAATGGGAAAGTAATTGTGAGGCGTCTGAGATGTAATCAAAAACCTTGCGGCCGCTGCAGCTCTCTCCTTCTCAGCCTCCTCCTTGAACGCGCTGTGCTGCTGCATCATCCGCTCCAGTGCCTCCTCATTGGCCTTTCCAATTGCCTTGTACTGGCGGTGAAAGGGGGGGAGGGGCGGAAAATGGGAAAGTAATTGTGAGGCGTCTGAGATGTAATCAAAAACCTTGCGGCCGCTGCAGCTCTCTCCTTCTCAGCCTCCTCCTTGAACGCGCTGTGCTGCTGCATCATCCGCTCCAGCGCCTCCTCGTTTGCCTTTCCTATTGCCTTGTACTGGTAGCAGGTGTCAACATGGGGGACAAAGTAGTGAGAAACCGAGAGGGGACGGGTGAGAATCATGAAACATGCACACAGTGCAAACACGACAAAGACAAGGCAGAGCAGATGAACTGGTAAGAGTACCGCTGACAGAACCCCAAATGCGAGCTCTGAGCACCCACCCGAGCCAGGTACCCCTGAGAGGCCTCCAGCTCCTCCTTAAGCCTCTGCACCTCCTCCTCTACCTTGTGTAGCCGCTCTTCTACGTCCTCCTCCTCCACACCCTCACCCTCCTTACCACCACCACCAGCAGTACCCCAACAGAACCCCAAATGCGACCTCTGAGCTCTCTCACCTGAGCCAGGTACCCTTGAGACGCCTCCAGCTCCTCCTTTAGCCTCTGCACCTCCTCTTCTGCCTTGTGTAGCCGCTCCTCCACGTCCTCCTCCTCCACACCCTCACCCTCCTTACCACCACCACCAGCAGTACCAGCACCAGCACCACCAGCTGCCCCAGCTGCCCCAGCTTCCCCAACCACCCCAGCAGCAGCATCATCACCACCACCGCCGCCGGCAGCAGCACTAGCAGCAGCGGCCACAGCAGCAGCGGCTGCATCTCTCACCGACGCCGATCTCAGACTCCTCCCTCCCACACCTCCCCCTGCACCGCCAGCAACAGCAGCAGCCGCCACCGCTTCCAACCGCTTCACACCCGCCTGCAGCTCCTCACACCGCGCCTCTGCAGTCTTGGCCTTGGTGACAGCAGCGCTGAGCTGGGCTTTAAGCTGCTCCACGTCCTTCCACGCTGCACTCAGCTTTGCCTCTGCATCCGCTGCTGCCCTGTCCCTGGCTTCGACCAGGTGGCGAGAGTGGTCCCTCTCTGCTTCCAGAGCCCTACTAGCTTCCGCCCACTCGCGCTGCAGAAAAGAAGGAACAAAGGGAATGGCATGAGGCAGAAGTGAGTGAGAGGTGTCCACCAGCAGCGCTCAGCTGCTGCTTGAGTTGCTCCACGTCCTTCCACGCGGCACTCAGCTTTGCCTCTGCATCCGCTGCTGCCCTGTCCCTGGCTTCAACTAGATGGCGAGAGTGGTACCTCTCCGCCTCTAGCGCCCTACTAGCCTCCGCCCACTCGCGCTGCAAGAGGAGAGGAGCAAGGGGATTAGCATGGGTAGAGGCAGGAGATGGGAGATGAGAGAGGAGAGAGTTTGCCCTGTCTCGGGCCTATATCAGCTGGTGACAGCAGCGCTTGCTCCACGTCCTTCCACGCGGCACTCAGCTTTGCCTCTGCATCCGCTGCTGCCCTGTCCCTGGCCTCCACCAGGTGTCGTGAGTGGTCCCTTTCGGCCTCTAGGGCGCGACTTGCTTCCGCCCACTCACACTGCAGGAGGGGAGGAGGGAGGGAGAAAGGGAGGAAGGTCAACACAATCTCCGCTTCTGCTGTGCCTCAGCCAGACATGTCAACCCACCAACACCCAGTCAACCAAGTCAAGCCAGTCTTCAAGCCGCTTCCTCTCAAGCCCTCTCCTGTCGCCTCAGCCAGACATGTCAACCCACCAACACCCAGTCAACCAAGTCAACCGAGTCAACCGAACCCACCTGCATGCGGTCAATGGAGTCTTCAAGCCGCTTCCTCTCAGCAGCCCATGTGGCCTCGCGGGCAGCCTGGGTGCTCTCCAATGAGTCGTGTGCCGCCTGCACGCGGTGCAATCTCTCCAACCAAGTCAACCAAGTCAACCCAGTCAACCGAGCTCACCTGCATGCGGTCAATGGAGTCTTCAAGCCGCTTCCTCTCAGCGGCCCACGTGGCCTCACGGGCAGCCTGGGTGCTCTCCAGTGAGTCGTGAGCCGCTTGCACGCGGTGCAACCTCTCCAACCAAGTCAACCGAGTCAACCAAGTCACCTGCATGCGGTCAATGGAGTCTTCGAGCCGCTTCCTCTCAGCAGCCCACGTGGCCTCGCGGGCAGCCTGGGTGCTCTCCAGTGAGTCGTGAGCCGCCTGCACGCGGTGCATCCTCTCCAATGCACTCCCCGCCTCCGCTGTCGCCCTCTCTTCCGCTGCGGCCAGCAGGGCTTTCTCACGCTCTAACACTGATGCCTGCGGAGAAAAGGGCACAGAGATGCGTATAGGAAAGACGGAACAGCTCTCCAGTGAGTCGTGAGCCGCCTGCACGCGGTGCATCCTCTCCAATGCACTCCCCGCCTCCGCTGTCGCCCGCTCCTCTGCTGCTGCCAGCAGAGCCTTCTCTCGCTCCAACACCGAAGCCTGCGGAAAACTAAAATGCACACAAATCCGTATCAATAAGACTGAACAACCACGTGCATCCTCTCCAATGCACTCCCCGCCTTTGCCGTCGCCCGCTCCTCTGGTGCCGCCAGCAGGGCCTTCTCTCGCTCCGACACTGATGCCTGCGGAAAGAAATAGGCGCACGATTTGGTATAAGAGGGGACCTTCATGCCTCCGCTGTCGGCCTAATCCCTGCAGCTGGAATCGGTGCCTTCTCTCGCTCCAACACCAAGTCCTGTGCAAAGAAGGCCACTGAAAATGGTACAAGACAGAGCAACAGCATTCACCCCTCAATAAGATTGAGCTCTCTGAAAAAATACACAAGCACCCAGCTGATTCTCTCACCTCAATGGTTGCACGGGTTGCCTTGTCCTCGGCAGCAGCCAGCAGCCTCTCGGCATCCCGCAACTGCCTCTGGTGGGCCGTCACTGACGCCGCAAACTCACTGCTGCGCGCCACTGCTGCATCCTTCACCTTGCGCTGCGGGGAAAAGAGGGCAGAGGGAGGGGAAGGGGGAGGGGAAGGAGGGGGAGGGGAAGGGCGAGGGGGAGGGGGAAGGGGGAAGTGTGGTGAGGGGAAGGAAGCGAGCAGCGAGCAGCCTCTCAGCGTCCCGCAGCTGCCCCTGGTGGGCCGTCACCGACACTGCAAACTCACTGCTGCGCGCCACTGCTGCATCCTTCACCTTGCGCTGCGGGGGAAAAAGGTGGGGGGTGGAGGGGAAGGTGGAGAGAAAGGGGGAAGGGAAGGGGCAGGGGAAGGGGGAGAGAAAGGGGGGAGGGAAGTGGGAGGGGAAGGAGGAGAAGAAGAAAGTGAGGTGAGGAAAGCACTGTCAATCAATTCTAGCCCTGCTGCAGAAATATGTTGATGCAGTATACCCATCGCCATCTCACCGTTTTAAAGCTCAAGGCCCAAATTGCGCAAGGTTAGTAATCTTGCGCAAGGGTTTGGGCTGGTCAAGAAAGTGTTGGGAGGGTGGGGTTGACTTATTTCGCACAAGCTCTCGCAACACTCGCCGAGTCAGCAAACCCCAAGGCAAACTGATAGTTTGGATCCGAGAGTCCAAAATTGAGAAATACTGAAAGTTGAAGTTTCTGCAGTGAGATTGGCCTCGACCAATCAGATTCAATCGTACCTACCGTAACCCAAGATTCGCCAAAACACAGCACCAAACCCACAGCTGTGCAAGATTAGTAATCTTGCCCAGCGCGGCCCGCAATTTGGGCCTTGAGCTTTAATATTTGGAATTTCTCAAGAATGATTCCACTATCCATCCAAACAACCTCCTCATCCAGCGTCTTCTCGAGTGCCTCTGCATGCTGTCACAATCACACTACCGCAGCACAGCACATCACACCACACAACAACTAACCTCCTCTTCGAGTGTCTTCTCAAGCGCCTCTGCCTGCTGCTTGGCGAACTGCGCCTCTGCCTCCGCTCGCATGCGCTCCATTCGTGACTCACTCGCCACCTTCCTGTGATTGCACATGCATGCATACACGCACTCACCCATGCACCCATCCATGGACGCATGCACCCAAGTGTGCAGCCAAGCATGCATGCATACACGCATCACATGCACGCACACATCCATACATGCACGCATGCATGCACCCAAGTGTGCAGTGAAGCATGTATGCAGCCAGGCATTCAGATATGAGTGCATGCACCCACACACAAACACACATGCATTGATAGACACACCATGAATACACACACACAGGAGAGTGAGCATGTGAATGGCGTGGTTGTGCCGTTGTGTGGTGGCATGGCATGGTGCTGTGGTGATGACATGGCAGCATGGCGGAATGGTAGAATGGCAGCAGCACGGCGACATGATCGTGCGGCAGAGTGCAGGCCATTTTTAGACGCCTCAGAACAGCAGCTTGATGACATAAAGGTGTGGCGTGGTGGAATCTGATGACATGATGGTGTGTCGTGGTGGAATGGCAGAGTGCAAATGCCCACCTGGCAGCATCCAGCGCCTCATATAGCTCGTCCATGCGCTGCTTGCCATGTGGTGGTGTTGTGTGCTGTGCTGTGGTGCGGTGCAGTGCGATGCGGTGCGGTGGAGTGTGAACTTCACCTGGCAGCATCAAGTGCCTCCGGCAGTTCATCCATGTGCTGCTTGCGATGTGGTGCTGTGCTTGGTGTGGTGTGGTGCGGTGCGGTGCGGTGGCGTGGCAGAGTGCAAGCCCCACCTGGCAGCATCCAGCGCCTCCTGCAATTCATCCATGTGTTGCTTGCGATCCTGCCGAAGCCTCTCCAGCTCCTCCTGCTCCCATGCACACACATCCAAACCAAATGGCGCAATGCAAAGCCACAAGATACACACAGACATGGAAAATCAGCGGCAGCGATCTGGAAAAAGGCATCGTGCAAGCTAAGGCAGAGAGCGACCGAGCGAGCGAGTGACATGAGTATACACGAGTGAGAGAAAAAAAAAACATTCCAGGCTTCACTCTATGCACAGAGAATAACTTTCAATAAAGAATTTGCAGCAAACGGGATTAGGGCCTTGAGAGATGTGGGGGGGTGGGGAGGTGGGGATGTGGAGAGGGAGGGGGGGTGGGAGGGAGGTGGGAAGGGAGGGGGGGTTGGGAGGGAGGTGGGGTGCTGGGGGGGAATGAGCAGAGACAGACACGAAGACAAGGAAAAAGGGCAGCAAGAGGATGGGATGCAAGGGGTCGGACAAGGGTTTGTAATATTCTGAAAAAAAACGCCTACAGGCGGAGCAAACAACAGGAGTAGGATACCTGCGTTGCAGTGTAGAGAGTCTTGTAGTCTGGACCTGCCCTCGAGGAGGATGAGATGAGCGCGAGGGGGCAGACAAAAAGGGCAGGCAGGCCGCAGGGGCCAAACACAGGCTGATGAGGTGAGGTCGCCGCGGAGAAGCAGATGCCAAGGATGGCGCATAGCTCATAGCGAATGCAATGCAGACGCCTTAATGCAATGCGGCACATAGCTCTCCTTACAATAAGGAGGAGCATAAACAAAAAAATGAACGATTAGGAAACAGTAGCGGTGCTCTACCAGCACCTGATCGAACATGCAGTAAACTGATAGTGCTCCATGGTAACCGCCTATAAACATCACTGTGGGAACCCGCTAAAGGCGCAGTGGCATATCATACCATACCATACCATACCATACCATACCATACCATACCATACCATACCATACCATACCATACCATACCATACCATACCATACCATACCATACCATACCATACCATACCATACCATGTGCTAATGGGACTGATTAACGCCACCCAACTCACCATCAGGTGGAGGGGAGGACAGCATGGGCACGGCAGCCACTCCCTTGGCTGCTGGAGAACCAGCTGCATGGGGGGAGGCAGCAGCAGTGCCCGATGCGATAGCCCGCATGCGTTGCTGCTGCTCGTCGTACAGCATCTTGAACATGTCGTGCTGGTGGGGTGAGAGGTGGGAAGGGAAGGGGCGAAGAAAGTGGGGTGGGAAGGGGAGAAACAGGGGGAGGGACGGGCAAACAACATGGGAACGAAACGGAGAGAGGTGAACTAGAGTACACGTTTTATGCCACGGCATGCATGCGCTGCTGCAGAACATATAGCAACTTGAACATGTCGTGCTGGTGAAGTGGCGGGTGGGGGTGGGGGGGTGGTTGAATTAGCAGAGCAACAGGGGAACAGAGCAGAAAGACAACAGCGCAACAGCACAGGAAGACGGGGCGGAGGGTGAGGCAAAGGGACAACAAGGAAAGAGGGCAATAGCGTCCATTCCCTTACAATGGGAAGCACTCACAACAGCCTTGTGTCGCTGTGCCAGCTCCTCCTGCTCCTTGTACATGCCCACCACCCGCTCCACCTCCTTGGCGTTCACTGGATGGACTTCTACAAATGACCATGAATCTACTGAAACAGGGGAGAAGCACTCACAGCAGCCTTGTGCCGCTGCGCGAGCTCCTCCTGCTCCTTGTACATGCCCACCACCCGCTCCACCTCCTTGGCGTTCACTGGATGGACTTCTACAAATGACCATGAATCTACTGAAACAGGGGAGAAGCACTCACAGCAGCCTTGTGCCGCTGCGCGAGCTCCTCCTGCTCCTTGTACATGCCCACCACCCGCTCCACCTCCTTGGCGTTCACTGGATGGACTTCTACAAATGACCATGAATCTACTGAAACAGGGGAGAAGCACTCACAGCAGCCTTGTGCCGCTGCGCGAGCTCCTCCTGCTCCTTGTACATGCCCACCACCCGCTCCACCTCCTTGGCGTTCACTGGATGGACTTCTACAAATGACCATGAATCTACTGAAACAGGGGAGAAGCACTCACAGCAGCCTTGTGCCGCTGCGCGAGCTCCTCCTGCTCCTTGTACATGCCCACCACCCGCTCCACCTCCTTGGCGTTCACTGGATGGACTTCTACAAATGACCATGAATCTACTGAAACAGGGGAGAAGCACTCACAGCAGCCTTGTGCCGCTGCGCGAGCTCCTCCTGCTCCTTGTACATGCCCACCACCCGCTCCACCTCCTTGGCGTTCACTGGATGGACTTCTACAAATGACCATGAATCTACTGAAACAGGGGAGAAGCACTCACAGCAGCCTTGTGCCGCTGCGCGAGCTCCTCCTGCTCCTTGTACATGCCCACCACCCGCTCCACCTCCTTGGCGTTCACTGGATGGACTTCTACAAATGACCATGAATCTACTGAAACAGGGGAGAAGCACTCACAGCAGCCTTGTGCCGCTGCGCGAGCTCCTCCTGCTCCTTGTACATGCCCACCACCCGCTCCACCTCCTTGGCGTTCACTGGATGGACTTCTACAAATGACCATGAATCTACTGAAACAGGGGAGAAGCACTCACAGCAGCCTTGTGCCGCTGCGCGAGCTCCTCCTGCTCCTTGTACATGCCCACCACCCGCTCCACCTCCTTGGCGTTCACTGGATGGACTTCTACAAATGACCATGAATCTACTGAAACAGGGGAGAAGCACTCACAGCAGCCTTGTGCCGCTGCGCGAGCTCCTCCTGCTCCTTGTACATGCCCACCACCCGCTCCACCTCCTTGGCGTTCACTGGATGGACTTCTACAAATGACCATGAATCTACTGAAACAGGGGAGAAGCACTCACAGCAGCCTTGTGCCGCTGCGCGAGCTCCTCCTGCTCCTTGTACATGCCCACCACCCGCTCCACCTCCTTGGCGTTCAATGGATGGACTTCTACAAATGACCATGAATCTACTGAAACAGGGGAGAAGCACTCACAGCAGCCTTGTGCCGCTGCGCGAGCTCCTCCTGCTCCTTGTACATGCCCACCACCCGCTCCACCTCCTTGGCGTTCACTGGATGGACTTCTACAAATGACCATGAATCTACTGAAACAGGGGAGAAGCACTCACAGCAGCCTTGTGCCGCTGCGCGAGCTCCTCCTGCTCCTTGTACATGCCCACCACCCGCTCCACCTCCTTGGCGTTCACTGGATGGACTTCTACAAATGACCATGAATCTACTGAAACAGGGGAGAAGCACTCACAGCAGCCTTGTGCCGCTGCGCGAGCTCCTCCTGCTCCTTGTACATGCCCACCACCCGCTCCACCTCCTTGGCGTTCACTGGATGGACTTCTACAAATGACCATGAATCTACTGAAACAGGGGAGAAGCACTCACAGCAGCCTTGTGCCGCTGCGCGAGCTCCTCCTGCTCCTTGTACATGCCCACCACCCGCTCCACCTCCTTGGCGTTCGCTGCTGCCCGCCTCTCCAACTCCTCCTCAAACCGAGCCTGCTCACTCATGCAAGCAAGGAATGAGGGCGTATTTGAGACTCGCGAGGGCAAAGAGGCCTGTGGACTAGACTGCGCCGTACTGGTGGGGGCAGAACTTTCGGGAGCTGTTAACTCCATGTTATCCTGACCGGCTGTAACACAGTAAACACAAGGCAAGGCAGCATTCTCTTCCAAAAAAAAGGCCAGCATCTTTCTGTTTATGTATGGCACACAACGACGTACCTTCACCCGTGGCTCCAGGGAGCTGCAGTCGTCCTGCAGCTTCCACAGCGCGTGGCAGAGTGGCACATGTAACAAGTTTGCAAGCGGTGACTCCTGCATCGACCCAGGAGTCAACTCGCACCAGCAACAGCAACAGTGGCACAGACATGGCGTACCTTCACCCGAGGCTCCAGGGAGCTGTAGTCGTTCTGCAGCTTCCTCAGGGCGTGACTGTGCGATGTGTTTGCATGAGGCGACTTTTGCATCAACTCAAGAGACATAAATACGGCGTTCACGTACCTTCACCCGAGGCTCCAGGGAGCTGTAGTCGTCCTGCAGCTTCCTCAGGGCGTGGCGGAGAGATGTGTTGGCCTGCACCAACCCCCCGATGTCCGTGATTGTCAGCTGCAGAGACGGGAAGGAGGAGCAGGGCAGGGGGTTCCGAGACCATTCAACACCGATTGTAACTGGGTAGGAGGAGCAGTACATCTTGAAGATTCCTCACACCAGAGCCCAGAAATCCATGATGTTCATTGCTCAGGGATTCATTCTGCTGGAGCGCATTAACGGAGCAGGAGGGGCTCGAAACAGTTCAGGGGCACGTGTAACAATCGGTGACAGTTCAGGGGCTCGAGCAGGAGGGCATTCCGCCGCTGGCGATGAGCGTGGCATTATTCCAACATTACCTGATCAGAACCTTCCTCCTGACGTACTCTTGAGGCGACTCAAGGCTCCTTACCTGCTCAACCGAGACGAAGTCTGACGAGGAGGGTCGCGGAGGGGTGGGCGGAGCAGTGGCTTCGTTATTAGCACGCTGCATGCTCACATCCCTTAGCTCCTTGAGGAGTACTGTCACCTGAGAGTGGTGGAAACAAGAAAAGCAAAGAGGGGAGACATTTATGGACGTGAAAAAAGAAAAAAAAGGTGAACAAGCAAGACCGATGCATTCACCAAAAAAAAGGAGCACAAAACTATGGGAATTTTCCGCTTCTACCTCGCATTCACTGAAAACCCCTTGACCTGCCCACCCACCCTCCACTCCACCACACCTGGCTCTGCAGGTCTGCCACATCAGTGGAAAGCAGGCTCACGTCCCTCTCCCTTGCCCGCAGCTGAGTTCTGAGTAAAAACGCAACCCACCCACCGCCCACTTCCCATGCCCCACACCCACCGCACCTGGCTCTGCAGATCTGCCACATCAGTGGTAAGCAGGCTCACGTCCCTCTCCCTCGCCCGCAGCTGAGTCCTGAGTAAAAGCACAACCCACCCACCGCCCACTTCCCATCCTTCACTCCACCGCACCTGGCTCTGCAGGTCTGCCACATCAGTGGAAAGCAGGCTCACGTCCCTCTCCCTCGCCCGCAGCTCCGCCTGATGCATCCAGTCCAGACATGATAGATAATAGGAGGGAGAAAGACTTGGGCATGTGGTGAGATGTCACCAAGCAATCGGTGTAGCGAAAAACACATTGAAACTGCACTCGGCACGGCACAAGATGCTTCCACAGTGGGCCAGCTGGTTTGCCAAAAGAGCCAGCTTGTCCTGCATGACGTCATACACAACCCAGTTCCCTTTCACCTAAACCAAGTACCAGGGAAAGTTGCTTACCCTGCACTCAGCCAATGATGCCTCCACAGCGGCCTGCTGGTCCGCCGCCAGAGCCAGCTTGTCCTGCATGACATCGTATGCACGGGCCATGCGCGCATGCTGCTCTCGCTCCTCCAGCACCAGGCTCGCCTTCTGCTCTATCTCCCTCAACACCTGGCGCGTGCACAGAAGAGTGTGTCGGGGGTGTGGGGTGGAGAGGGGCAAAGAGGGGAAGAGGGGGTGCCTCAAAGCTCCTCCAGCACCACGCCCACATTCTGCTCTATCTCCCTCAACACCTGGTGCATTTTGGAGGGAGGGGAGGGGCAGGGGGTTGGGGAATGAGGAGAGTGGGAGGGAGGGTGGGCTGTCCTGCATGACATCACACAGGGGCGCATGCTGCTCTCGCTCCTCCAGCACCAAGCTCGCCTTCTGCTCGATCTCCCTCGGCACCTGGTGTGCGCACGTGCGTGTTTGTGGGGGTTGGGGGGCCGGGTGGGAGCAAGAGAGAGTGGGTGGAAGGGTGAGAAACTGTGCTGCTCACGCTCCTCCAGCACCACGCCTGCCTTCTCTGTCTCCCTCAGCACCTGGTGCATGCAAGTGTGGTGGTGGAGGAGGGAAGCGAGTGGGTGGGAGGGAGAGAGGTTGGGTGGCAGAGCAGACCAGGTTGTCCTCTCGCTCCTCCAGCACCACGCCCGCCTTCTGCTCTATCTCCCTCAACACCTGGTCTGCGCGCACACATGCGTGTGAGTGAGTGTATGGAGGATAGAGTGGGTAAGATGGTGGCTTGCAGAATGACCCCATGGTATGCAGAATATGAACGGTCAGCCAGCCAGCCACAGGTTGCAGACGACTCAAAGCAATAGGGTGGGGGGGGGGACACCCATCATCCACTTATCACACTTCTGTTCCCACGATTACTCTCCGTCTCTCACCCTGTTAAGAAGAGTCTCTGCCTGCCGTCGCTGTTGCCTCTCATGGCGCCACGCATCTGCTGCCTCCTCATACTTCTCGTACATCGTTGCCAGCTGCAGACGGACGTGCACAACAAGAGAACGACTCAGGGACAAATTGAAGAAAACAAAATACTGATGGAACCGAGAGAAGGCGATGGTTTCAGAAGACTGCAGTGGAATCGAATGCACACAGGAGCAAAAGAGTTTCAAAACTGCAGCATCTAGAGGCACCCACCGTCCAGCCATCTTTAACAAGATATGAGGCGAGAGCCACTCCTGTGACGCCCTGCGGCAGGGCTGGGGGCACACTGCGCCCCCCATGCAACACGGCCGCCAGCTGCCTGTCCCTGCACACGTGAAGAGAGGGCCGGGGGGAGGGGGGAAGAGGGGAAGAAAAAATAAAGGTGCGGGCCACGCGGATTGAACACCCCCAACAACAGCACTTCTGGAACCCGAACAACAGCGCAGCAAGTCGAAGGCCGAAATCGCCAGCAACAGAAGCGCCCTTACTGGCGGCAACAGCCTTTCCAAAACTTACAAGGGCTGGATGGGGCCAGCAGCGGCAGGGAGGGCAGCAGGCACAAGGTCCAAGCCACCAGCGCCAGCAGCTGCTGCTGCAGCGGCTGCCTCAGTGGCAGCAGCAGCCTTCTTGTTGGCCTCGTCAAGGCTCTTCTGCAGCTCCTCACACCGCCTCTGCAGCTCCTGCTGCTGCTTCCCTGCCGCCTCCTCTGCTGCCTTGACACGCCTGTCGCCCTCCTCCTCCACCTGCTTCAGATGATCCTGAAGAGAACACACGAAGGTCCAGGAAGAGAGACACAGGGATGGGCAACACAGGCAGACGCAGGAAGACAGACAGAGAGACACAACTCAGGGAGGAAGGAAGCAGACAAAGGAGAAAGAGAGAGCATATAGGTGCCTAACTTAATCTAATTCTCTCAGTATGGCACGACACAGGCAGAGCTGATGCATACAAGTGTGAGATGCAGTACGATCGACGAGTACGCGTGCCACTGACTGACCTCGAGAGACTTGACAACGCCCTTCAGGTCTGCCGTCCGTTCACCTGCCTCCGCTGCACTCTCCTTATACAGTTCCACCAGCTTCTTCGCCTGGCGTGGAGGGGAGGGAGGGAGGAGAAAGGCGTGGGTGTGACTTTGGCGACGCAGCAGCACACACTGCAGCTTTGAGAACAGCATGTATTACAGCTTCGACAGGAGCACTCACTGCAGCTTCGGAAGCAGCACTCACTCACTGTAGCTTCGGCAGCGGCATTCACTACATCTTGCATCGCTGTGCTGCACTCATTGCACCTAGCACTCACAACAAACTCGACAATAGTACTGCACTGTGCTGGCTTCTTCCACACTCACAGTCTCCAGTTCAGCCGCCAGCTGGCTCTCATGCAACGCCTCCTCCTCTGCTCGCTTCTTCACCTCCTGCAGACAAACAGGTCACGGGAAGAGAAGAAGCACAAGAGGGAACGGTAGACAGTTAGATATAATCAGCGACGCCAACAACGATTTTGGACAGTATTTGGAAGGGGGGATGGCGGAGGGGGGGAAGGGAGGGGGGAAGACCAGACGTCTCTACTAGCAGCCGCTTGACCCACCTGCTGCAGCTGCGCCACCATCCCCTGCAGCTCTGCCACGCGCACCTGGGCGTGTGCCTCAGCAGTCAGTCAAATACAAGAATACTCAAAAGGATGTTCAAAAGTGACACATAAGCTGGCCCACCTGTTGCAGCTGCGCGACCATCCCCTGCAGCTCCGACACGCGCGCCTGGGCGCGCGCCTCAGCAGCTTGCGGGACTCAGGATTCATAAGTTGGCCCACCTGTTGCAGCTGCGCGACCATCCCCTGCAGCTCCGACACGCGCGCCTGGGCGCGCGCCTCAGCAGCTTGCGGGACTCAGGATTCATAAGTTGGCCCACCTGTTGCAGCTGCGCGACCATCCCCTGCAGCTCCGACACGCGCGCCTGGGCGCGCGCCTCAGCAGCTTGCGGGACTCAGGATTCATAAGTTGGCCCACCTGTTGCAGCTGCGCGACCATCCCCTGCAGCTCCGACACGCGCGCCTGGGCGCGCGCCTCAGCAGCTTGCGGGACTCAGGATTCATAAGTTGGCCCACCTGTTGCAGCTGCGCGACCATCCCCTGCAGCTCCGCCATGCGCGCCTGGGCGCGCGCCTCAGCAGCGCGCAGGTCGTCGCGCTCATGCTCCGCGCCCAGCAGCTTGCTCCGCAGCTCCCCCTCCCCCTCCGCGCGCGCGCGCCTCAGCAGCTTGTGGGTTGTTGGGAATTTCGAAAGATTTTTCAGATGTGACACAACACAAAAGCTGACCCACCCACCTGTTGCAGCTGAGCGACAATCCCCTGCAGCTCCGCCACGCGCGCCTGGGCGCGGCTCTCAGCAGCGCGCAGGTCGTCGCGCTCATGCTCCGCGCCCAGCAGCTGGCTGCGCAGCTCCGCCTCCCCCTCCGCGCGCGCGCGCCTCTCCTCCTGCAGCGCGCCCGCCTTCCCCGCCACGTCCTCGCGCAGCCACGCCAGGTGCTCCTCCAGTATCTCCTTCTCCTGCGGTCATGAGGACAACGAGGGGGGAAACGAGGGGGAAAACGATGAGAACAAACGACCATGAGCGAAAGAACCTTTGAATAGTTTCAAACGCACCCAGCAACGCCAGGTGCTCCTCCAGAATCTCCTTCTCCTGCGGTCATCAGGACAACGAAGGGGAATACGAAAAGCTGTGAGGGTAACCACCTTTGCGACGTCCCAAAAGCAGCCAGCCACGCCAGGTGCTCCTCCAGAATCTCCTTCTCCTGCGCTCACAGCGAAAAAGAGTGGGGAACAAACGACCATGAGCACAGGGACCTTCAAAACGTCCCCACCCCAAAGCAGCCAGCCACGCCAGGTGCTCCTCCAGAATCTTCTCTTCCTGAACTCACAGGGGGACAACGAGGAGAACAAACGACCATGAGCGTCGGAACCTTTGAATCGTTTCAAAAGCAGCCAGCCACGCCAGGTGCTCCTCCAGAATCTTCTCTTCCTGAACTCACAGGGGGAAACGAGGTGAGTAACCGAGAAGCTATGAGGGCAGCAACCTAGGATGAGCACTATCGTGGAAAGACGCTGGAGGAGCTGGGGGACGAAAATCGGTTGGGGATGTGTTGATGTGGTAAATAGCATTGCTGCTGGATGAGAAATACGCGCACGTGGAGTGGAAGAATTGGATTCGATGAACGCACCTGCACATGGCGGTTCACGGCGGCCTTGTAGCGGGACGCCTCTGCCTCAGCCGTCCTCAGCCGACCCTCCAGCTCCGTCCGCGAATCAGTCAGGGAGACCTGGTGTGTGTGACAATATCGAGCAGAATGGCATCCGAAAGATTCAGTACGCGAAACGCGCCAGAAATATTTGATTTCGCACGAAGCGCCATGAGAGTTGGTTGGATGCAGCCGTAGGTCCTGATTACCGCTTTAATCAGGGGAAATCCGACTCACGATCTTGTCGAGGTACGATTTGAGCGACGCGTTCTTCTCGTCAATCTCGAGGTTCTTCCGCTCGATCACGTCCACCAGGTCCCGCCGGCTCGTCTGCGCCTCCGCCAGCTCCGCTTTCACCCGCTCCCGCTCGCCATCCCCCTGAATCTGCAAAATCGAGAAATAATAATAAAAAGCCATAGCAGACGGCCGAAAAATAAACGTTACTGTTTTCGCGCGATTCCTGGTTGCAGCGGCAAAGAACGGGCTTTGAATGACTTTACAAATTCGAGGAGCAGCCTAGGAGACATACCGCTTCCAGCTGCAGGCGATGGACCTGCGCCTTAATTTCCGCAAGCTCGGCGGCTTTCTGATTGAGATCCGCGGTAAGAAACCCCTTTTCGCGTTCGAGCTGCGCGTTTTCGTCCGTGACCGCGAGGTACTTCTGCTCGATCAGCGAACACGTCTGCTCCGCGTTGATTTCCGCTGCATCCGCCTGCGCTTTGTGCGTCTCTAGCTGACGGAGGAGCGAGCCTATTTGCTCCTCCGCCTTTCGCGCAACGGCCCTGACATCGCCCTCCAACGCCTGCAGCTCCTCTTCAGAGAGGAAGAGAGGCATCGTGAGAAGCAACCTGGAAAATTCCCGTTTGAAATGCGATATCAGGCTACGGAATGCTATTATTTAAGTTCGTCACGCGATTTCTCTAGCCGCATCTAGGCACAGCTACATCTACGCAGAGCCATGACGATTAGCGTTGAAATAGGAGGTAATTAGAGGGAAGAGAAAGATTAAGTCCGAGAGAGACTCTCTGGTGGCACGAAAAAGGTTGGAAAAGCAAGGGTTCCCGCCGATTGTGACTACGACGAGGGAGATTTCCCGCTCTCACGGAAAAGCTGAATATTAGCACTCTGATTACTGGATTCGTGCTGACACTTTTCCAACTGCGGGTGAAACACCAACATCAAAGTTATCCAAATATTTATCACACCCTGCGTTGACACACTCGGGGTACACTATTAGTTATTCAATTTAGTGTTGCTCAATGGAGGGAGGAAGAGATCTGCGATGATGCGCTGCGCGACCTCTCGCTCCTCGAAGCGACAATCCCGAAGCGACCCCGCCCCACCCCACCAATGCTCACTCTCCGTCTCCCACTCACCCCTCCCATCAAACACAGCTGGCAAGGCAATGCCCATACAAATGCCAAGGCATGCCTCGTACCCACCTAGCGCAGTCCACGCGTTGGGAATGTAAAACCCAACGGCTCCTTGTCTCGCTTACCTCAGAAACTCAACCCGAGACAGACTAGCCGAGCCGTCCTTTCCAGGCCAGCTCAACCTTGGGCTTCTATAGTACGTGGTCGAAGCTCACAGATTACCATTTCGCTTGTAGGGTGAAATCTGCTCATGCTCGATCGAGGACGCGTTGCCATCTGAAGGAACCATCGTCATGATGGTTTTCAATGCTAAAACGTTGAGGCCTACGGTGACGTGCTGCATTCAGCAGTGAGCGATTTCCGCGAGGTCTTGAGCAGGCTACGGGTCAGCTAGTACCGCGTAAGCGTAACGTCCTCTTTCCATGGCTCTCTCCGCCTCGTCCCCTGCCAGCACGGAATTGAGTAGAAGAATTTCAGTAGTGCAGCAAGTAGGCAGCATGATAAGCTCCCTCTCGTGCCAATCAAGCCGTCCCGACTGTCGGGTATCCTCGATAAGAGCCGCTACTTCGCAGCAGCTACGCGGATTCGTTCCGCCAACGCAAAGATTACGCTCGCGGTTGAAACCTCCGGGCTTCGATCCGTTAAGTCGGGTATCTCATCGCAGAAGCTTTGGGAACTCCACGAGCACAATCAGAAACACCGCAATTTTCCAATGCCACGTCAGCACAGAAAGTTTCGGATCGGGAAGGCAAGCCTCTTCTACCAGCGAGGCTGGCGAATCACCTGATTCACCCAGCAACGCGCCAGAAGCCGATCCGCCGTTAGTAGACGCTTTCGGCACGCCTTCGATTCAGGCTGCCCAGAAGCTGTGTGTATCGCTAGAAGCGTCTTCCACCATTGCTGCGGGAGTGACAGCGCTTGAGGAGCAACGAGCGAAGGAAGGCACAAAGGAAGACGCAGGGAAGGACGCAGAGAAGGACAATGTACCCCGGTCGATCACGGAATTGGTGCCGCTGTTGATGGAGAGGGCCGCCGAAGCCTTCACCAAGGTGGTTACGTCTCGAGCAGGCGGTTTGATTGTCCTCAACGTCGTCACCATGCTCTACGGTACGTGCAGCAGTCTATACGCTCTATGGAACGTGCAACCTGCAATGAGTCAATTTTTGAGGCACCACTTGAGCAGGCGGTCTGATTGTCATCAATGTTGTCACCATGCTCTACGGTACGTGCGGCCTGCAGTGAGGCGGGCGCCTCAAAAATCGCCTCACTTCGCCAGGGTGGTTACCACTTGAGCAGGCAGGCTGATCGTCATCAACGTTGTCACCATGCTCCTACGGTACGTGCGGCCTGCCACTGGCAGTGGCATTGCTTTTTATGCGACAATGCAAGAATGGTGCTATCCCTTGCGTCCTCCATTCTTGCAACACAACGGCATTCGGGGTGCTAATCGGCTGAGACCATGCTCCTCCCATGTCGTCCCTTTCCCTTCTCCCACGCCTTGAGGTGATTTTTTAGGCGCCTCAAAATCCACCTCAATGCATTCGGGGTGCTAATCGGCTGAGACCATGCTCCTCCCATGTCGTCCCTTACCCTTCTCCCACGCCCTCCCACGCCCTCCCACGCCCTCCCACACAGCTACCAACACCACCATCGTCAAGGGAGCAGAGGAAGCCGCAGGAGGGCCGCTGCAGTTCTGTCTGGGTCGCTTCGCCATTGCTGCACTCGCGCTCTCTCCGCTGCTCCCCGCCGCCCTCGCCAACCTCGCCGTCCGCCGCTGCGGCATTGAGATGGGCCTGTGGACGGCTCTGGCGTACCTTTCCCAGGCCTTCGCTCTCATCACCACTGGCGCTGGCCGTGTTTCCTTCATCAGCACCTTCACGGTAATCTTGTTCAGCACCTTAGTTTCTTTTTTGAGAATTCTCAAAAGAGATTCTCAAAAGCGGCATTGAAATGGGCCTCTGGACGGCTCAGGCGTACCTCTCCCAGGCCTTCGCTCTCATCACCACTGGCGCTGGCCGTGTTTCCTTCATCAGCACCTTCACAGTAATGCCGTTCACCACCTTGATTCCTCCTCCAAACCCCAAATTTCTGCCTGTGTGCGTCTAAAACCCCAAATCACGAGTCTGCTGAGCATCTTTTGTCTGTTGTCTGTTATTTAATGATTGTGTTCCGGTTTGCTGCCTTTACCGGCAGATGATAGAGGTGCCGCTGGTGGCGGGGCTGCTGGGGGCGCACATCCCTCCCCTCGTGTGGGCTGCCACTGCCTCCGCCGTTGCTGGCGTTCTCCTCCTCGAAGCCAACTCTGAAGCCTCCACGCTCGTGAGTCCACTCGTGTTCTCAGCCCTCCATTGGTCCTGGGAGATACAGCAGCATCCGTTGTTGGCGTTCTCCTCCTCGAAGCCAACTTCGAAGCTTCCACGCTCGTGAGTCCACTCCTTTTCTGAAGCTCAGAACTCGGCAAGCCTCCACGCTCGTGAGTTCCAGTGCTGCTCTGAACCCTCGAGCAACTCAGGGCCTCCACGCTCGTGAGTTCCAGTGCTGCTCTGAACCCTCGAGCAACTCAGGGCCTCCACGCTCGTGAGTTCCAGTGCTGCTCTGAACCCTCGAGCAACTCAGGGCCTCCACGCTCGTGAGTTCCAGTGCTGCTCTGAACCCTCGAGCAACTCAGGGCCTCCACGCTCGTGAGTTCCAGTGCTGCTCTGAACCCTCGAGCAACTCAGGGCCTCCACGCTCGTGAGTTCCAGTGCTGCTGCTCTCAACCCTCGCGAGCACATGGTTCGATGCTCGCATACATCCCCCCCTGCCGTTCCATGCACCGTTCTGCTCAGGTTGGAGACGGCCTGGCTCTGCTGAGTGCCATGGCTTTCGGGTTGCAAATCATTCGGTCGAATCAGTTTGCCAAGCAAGTGCCGCCCTCTGCGACCCTCGACCTCATCTCAATGCAGGTAGGATGAGGGGCGGTTGGAGCGGTGATGGAGGAAGGGGGGGTGGTTGGTTAGAGGGTGATCATGAGAGGTATAGCAGTTCGCACGTGGACATATTCTGTTCCCACTCACATACTCTTCCATACACCCTACACGCTCTCCTCACTCACTTACTGTGGTCTTGGGAACTTATGTATGAGCTTTTGTGAAAAATGTTACCTCCAGTCTCCACACCCCTGTCTCTCTGTCTCCTACCACGGCAGATATTCACTGTGGCATGCTGTGCCGCTGTAGGCGTGGCCATCACCAGCACCACAGGCCTTCAACCCGACAGCGTAGCACTAGCAGAAACAACAACAGCAGTAGCGACAGCAGCAGCAACAACAGCAGCAGCAGCAGCAGGGGCGGTCACAGCACCAGTTGGTGTCTTCCCATTGACTGACGAGCTAACGAGATTCGTCTCACAGGCGAGCACATGGCCCTGGTTGCAAATGGCATACACTGGCATTGTCTCCACAGCACTTTGCCTCTGGCTCGAGGTAAGCATTCCCGAAGATATCTGTTTGTGTGGCCGTTGGGCTACCTGATTTCAGGTGTTTGTGCTAACGTCTCCACGTGCTGTTGTTGCTGTCCAGATTTTGGCTTTCCGGCATGTTGCGGCGTCTGATGCGGCAGTGATCTACACTCTAGACCCCCTCTACTCGGCCGTTTTGGCTACGATTGTTCTTCATGAGGAGTGGACAACCTTAAGCTACATTGGAGCTGCGTTAATATTTGGTAAGGGGGATTTTATTTATGCTAAGCTGGTGCATTGACCACCAAGTAATCACTCGACTCATTCTTGATTTGCTCTGTTTTTGCAGGGGGGAGCGTTGTTGTGCAGCTTGGGAATGCAAACAATGATGTTGAAACAGGATAATTTAGGGCGCGTGTGATCAAAGTTCGAACTTCCCAAAGTTCGAACTTTTAGAAAGGTTCTACACGGTAGGATACAATTGAGCGATGTCTCTCCACGATGCAAAGCGGTTTGAGTTCGAACTTTGACAAAAATCCTTGGATCACACGCGCCCTTATCATTGCGCCTATTTATTGGATGAAATGTTAGATCTTGCTTTTTTTACTGAAGTGGCTGCATATATTTGTATCAAGGTGGAAAAAGCGTGGGTGAAAATATACGGTACCTGTAAAGAGCGTGTTTTTAACGGTTATCCAAGAATGTCCATACACTAACGACGTGTTGCGACCCACCCGGGTCGGGTCGACCTCCCCCCGACCCCGAATTTCTAGGAAGCCCGCACTGCCGACCTACCCGACCAGGTCGACCCGACCCAACCCAACCCGGGTTGGGTCGACCCGGGTCAACCCGGGTCGACCAGGTCGGGTCACCAGGCCGACCAGACCCAACCCAACCGAGCTGGAGCAGGTTACTCGAGCTTGCGAAATTTAAAGTTCTCGCGCGGATGTCGCTTGCATCTCGTTTAATATCGCCAAACATTGCCTCGCCCACCTTCCACCTGCGGAGCACTTGCTTTCTCTTTACTTCGAATTTGCAGAGAAGGCAACGAGAAATTCTTTGTTTTCTCGAGTCGCCTTTCGGTTGGGTTGGGTCGGGTCGGGTCTACCCGACCTGGTCGACCCGACCCGACCAACCCGGGTGGGTCGCAACACGTCGTAACCGAGAAACAAGAAACAAGAGCCCCAAGCCTAACCGAGGTCCCCGCACTCACCGCACCGCGCACTTATCGCAGCCGCGCACTTACCGCAGTCGCGCAATTACTGCGTCAGATCAGTCCCGCTGTACTCACCGCCAGCCATGCACTCCGTCGCGCAGCATTGCTTCGCGGCGCACCGCCAGCTGACGCGCCTATTCCCCCCCTCCGCATCTTTTTCCGCAAGTGTTCGCCGCGCAACCGCAGTCGCGCCAGTGAGGTGTCCAGCGGGTTTCCGGCGGCATGAGGCGAGCGGATTTAGCGGACAAAAAACGTCTGCGCTGATTTTGCGTAACGAAACCCGCTGCCATAGCTCGTCCGCAGAAGCTTCCGCGAAGGAAGAGCCGAATGTGAAGGACCTTGCGCTAAAGGCGCGGCTGGCGCTGTCGGCGGAAGAGGTGCGGATGGGGGAGAGAGAGGGGTGGGGGGAAGCGGACTGGAAAAGGGTTGGCGGAAAGACCTGGGGGGAGGAGTTGGGGGTGCTAAGACCTGATGAGGCTGTCGGGGCTTGAGTGATGACTGAAGTGCATTCCGACTGTGCGTTCTGACGCTCAAGCTTGTGCTTGCTTGTGTGATTCGCTTGTGTGCATGCAGGAGGAGGAATTCGGCAAGTCGATCTCACGCATAGTAGACTGGTAAGAACGATGAGTACATTGCTTCCCCTCGCTTACACATTCTTCCCAACACATTCACCCTCACTCAAGTATCTTGCATGCGGTATTCCTCACTCACATATACCCTCTTCACTCACATATGTCCCCCTCATTCACATATCTCCCCCTCACTCACATATACCCTCTTCACTCACATATGTCCCCCTCATTCACATATCTCCCCCTCACTCACATATACCCTCTTCACTCACATGTCCCCCTTCACATTTCTCCCCCTCACTCACATATTCACTCCTCACTCACACACTCTCCTCAATCACAGATCCTCCTCTTCTCCCCCTCACTCACAGGTTCGGGCAGCTACAGCAGGTGGACCTTTCAGATGTCCCTGCTGCCATCCGCGTCGGTAAGACCAAGCCCTTTGTGGCACCTCGGCGAGGAGCCCGTTAAGCTGCCTCTTGCCTTCTGTGCCAAGAAAACTAGACCCATGCCCTGCACCAGCCACCATGCAGATTAAGACCGTACCATGTCATGCCCTTAGACCTTTCAAATGCCAAGTCCAGCAGGTTTACCAGCAACACCCTACTTTCCCCCCCACATCCCACCCCGTTCATTCTGCTGTGGCACAACAATGCCATGGTCAATGCCAGGAGGGGAGGAGCTGCGGCCGGATAACATGCGAGAGGACGTCGTTGTCGACTTTGAAAACAGGTGAGATGCGACTCCAGCACCCACTTCATTCTGCTGTGGCACAATATTGCCATGCTGGTCCATGCCAGGAGGGGAGGAGTTGCGGCCAGATAGCATGCGAGAGGACGCCCCTGTTGTCTTCGAAAACAGGTGAGTCGCATCCCAGTCGGTGAGACACATGCGAGAAACTTTACCTCTGGATACAGTCGCCAGGTTGTTGCCAATCAAGTCTTGTTCCTCTTACCTGTACATGAACATGGCTTTGTGTGCTGCAGGGAGGAAATGCTGAGCCAAGTACCCAAGATGGACGGGCCATTCCTGAAAGTGCCCAACGTTCTGCCCAGCAATTGATGTCCTGCATGCATCGTAGTTGCCTGGGTTAGTCAGTTAGTGTAGCAATGCAGCTGGACATGCAGCCATGTCTTGGCCGACAGCAAAGAGCTTGCTTGTCAGGGGGGCTTGAGAATGCAGCTACACTGCATCCGACGTTTTGAGTAGCTCCCATGTTCTTGCTGTAGCCAGTGGCATGAACTGCACTGCTTTCTCACTGCCGCTTGCACTCCATCAGGACTGTGACACAGCCACTGTGCGCTTGTCTTGCCAGATCCACTTCACTCTCACTCAGGGCTATGATCGAGGGCTTTGCCTGTAGCAGCAGCCAAATCCTCCTCATACCACACACACACCATGGGCCAAGGCACCATGCCACCACGGCACAGCACCTGCAGCTCCTTGCCACGGACACTCTATCCTGCTTGGGTGTTTTTGTTTGTGCCCAGGCTCCTCCCTGGCTGCCCACCCCACCCACGTATTCCACAACATGCAGGCCCATCCCACCCACAACAGCACAGCGCTACATATCTAAGGACGCCTAAGAACAACTAAGCAAAACTAAGCAGAGCATAGCCTCAGGACGAAGCAGCCAGAGGCTTATCTTGAGGTCTTATCAATGTGTGTGGATATCCGCCAATATGCAGCACCGCACATGTATGGTCATCGCTGCACAGGACTTCTACTGTATCTCGCCTCCATATCACCACAGCAGGGCCACTTGAAGGAACTGCAAACCGGACAGCAACGGGGCATGGAAGCGAGGGGAGGGACGAGGCATTATGCATTTGTAAGATATGACAGATAATCATATTATGGTGTATTTCCTCATTGAATTAGAGATGAGTACAAAGTGCAATATAGAGAACGTACTCGGTTCATAACAGATCGCAATTGTGGAGCAAGCAAGGATGAAGAAAGACGGACTGGAAAGACCTTGGATCTTTGACAAGAATGCAGGCGACACTGAACAACCAACATGTAGGGAACTTGGTTGCAGTTGGGTAAGCTGTACTCACACTCGATTGGTGCTGCAGCCATCACTGCAGCTGCCATTAACGTTGCATCGGACGCTGCCACCAGTGGCACAGAGGTGTGTCGCCTCAGTATGTTCACTCCTCCACTGCTGCTGCAGCAACCACTGCCGCGGGCACCAATGCTGCTGCTGCCACCGCGGCTGCACATGGCACTGGCTCTGGATGAAAGGTGCTGCTATTCTGGAGGGAGAAGAACAGAGAAGCGGAGAGCGCAGGAGACGGGTTTGGGAGCTGAGCAGAGCGGCATGAACATGGGCACATGGGCGTGATGGAACACAGCTGCAAAGGCACATGGGAAAGATGGTAGACAAGACAGAAAGCATGAAAATGGCAAGTGAAAGAAGTGGTATACTGCTTGATCTGATCCACTCACAACTCCCTGTGTGCTTGCCATCGTCCCGGGCGTCCACTCGCTGCCACTCCCTCCGTCTCGAAAGCCATGAAGCACATGCACGCATGGGGAGAGAGACACACACACGGAAACGGCGCAACAAGGGAGGGTGAGCAACACCAGGAGGCAAGTGGAGGAGGCGAAAGCAAAAGACACGTGCACGGAGGGGTGCTTGCAAGGGGACCGTGAAGTGAGTCGTAGGCGTCGCCGCGCAGAGGCAAGAGTCCTTGCCCTTGCCTCCACCATTCGCCTCCTCTCCTGCTCCTTCTAACCCTCCCTTATTGCGCTGCTTCTGTCTGCGTGCCTCTCTCCCCTCGCGTGTGTGTGCTTCATGGCCTGTGAGACGGAGGGTTATGGCGGGGAGTGGTCGGCGGTGACAAGCGTGCGGGCTTCGTTCCGGTTCGAGACACAGCAGCAGCGTTGGTGAGTGTTGCAGCGTTGGTGAGTGCAGCAGCGCTGGTGAGTGCAGCAGCGCTATTGAGTGCAGCAGCGCTGGTGACTTGAAGCAGCAGTAGTAACAGCGCCTTGTCTTTTCAGCCAAGTATTTTCTCCTCTGAACGTTTTGCCTTTTGTGATGCCGTTTGTGATGCCAAGCGCTCATCCCTTGTCGTGCATGTGCTGCACTGTTTCACCACTGGCTGGTCCTTTTCCTGACTCACGAGCCACAGGCCCTTCTTGTTGCAGGTACAAGCAGCAGACAACTCGCAATCTGGAGCAGCATGCCTGACCCCTGGAGCACGGGCAGCAGTAGGTGCTGCTTGAGGCGAATGCTTGGCGCAGGAGAGGCAGGCCAGGGGGGCGAATGCTTGGCTCTGCCAAGGAGGAGAAGTGGTACGTGCCAGGGGGTGCTTGCAGGGGGGCCGTGAAGTGAGTCGTAGGGTGTCGCCGCGCAGAGGCAAGAGTCGTGTCTGTTGCCTTTGCCTCCACCACTCGCTTCCTGCTCCTTCTAACCCGCCCTTATTTCCCTACTTCTGTCTGGCTGTCTCTCGCTCCCCATGCATGTGTGTGCCTCACGGCCTCCGAGGTGGAGGGGAATGGCGCGGAGTGGACTGCATTGCTGCCGCACTCACGGGATATCCCGAAGGCGTGACGCAGGAGTGGAAGAGCGGTAAACTGAGCGTGGTACGTGCCAGGGGGTGCTTGCAGAGGGGTGGTGTAGGGAGTCATAGGGAGTCGCCGCGCAGAGGCAAGAGTCGTGTCAGCTGAAAACCCCCGCCACTCGCCTCCTCTGCTACTTTTTCTAACCCTCCCTTGTTGAGTCGCTCCTGTGTGGCTGTGTCTCTCCCCATGGCTGTTTGCGCCTCACGGCCTGCAAGACGGATGGGAATGGCATGGAGTGGACAGGACATGGACTTGGCTGCAGTTGCTGACTCGCATGAGAGACAACCAGGAGCATGCCTGAAGTGAAGGCGTGGCGCAGGAGTGGGAGAGCAGCGAACAAATCACGGTACGTTTCAGGAGGTGATTGCAGGGGGGCCGTGAAGAGAGTCGTAAGGGAGTCGCCGCGCAGAGGCAAGAGTCGTGTCTCTTGTTTGCGGGCCCATTACTCGCCTCCTGCTGCGTCTAACCCTCCCTTGTTGTGACTTTTCTGTGTGTGTCTCTCTCCTCATTCGTGTGTGTGCCTCGTGGCCCAAGACGGAGGGGAATGGCAGCGAATGGCAGCAAGGATCGCCAGTGACTGCAGGATGATGGCGAGCACGCAAGAGGTTGTGAGTGAATCAGGTCATGCAATCCACCATCTTCCTGCTTTCTGTGTTCCATTCTTTTCTGTCTGCCAACATTCGCACGCTTGCAGCTGTGCTGCCATGCTTTCATGCCACTCTTCTCTACTCCCAGACCTCTCCTTTCCTATCCTCTCCTCTTCTCTGCAGCGGCGCGGTGGTGGTCTCGACGAGAAACCAGGAGCACGGGCAGAGGCAGGACGCTCCTTGGGGTGAAGGCTTAGCAGCAACGAAGCAACATGGAGCAGCACACAGGCGTGGTGTAGGAGCGGCGGACGGAGTGTGGTGCGTGCCAGCACCCCCACTCCTGTGGCACGCTCCTACCCTGTCTGTAGCAGCAACGGAGCAGCGTGGAGCAGCGCACAGGCGTGGTGTAGGACGCAGAGCAGCCGAGTGGCAAAGCGTCAGATGGAGGAGCGTGGTACGTGCCAGGGGGTGCTTGCAGGGGGCGCTGCTGCACTCACCAACGCTGCAACACTCACCAACGCTGCTGCTGTGTCTCGAACCGGAACGAAGCCCGCACGCTTGTCACCGCCGACCACTCCCCGCCATAACCCTCCGTCTCACAGGCCATGAAGCACACACACGCGAGGGGAGAGAGGCACGCAGACAGAAGCAGCGCAATAAGGGAGGGTTAGAAGGAGCAGGAGAGGAGGCGAATGGTGGAGGCAAGGGCAAGGACTCTTGCCTCTGCGCGGCGACGCCTACGACTCACTTCACGGTCCCCTTGCAAGCACCCCTCCGTGCACGTACCACACTCCGTCCGCCACTCTGCCGCTGCTGCGCCACGCCTTCACTTCAGGCGTGATCCCGGTTGTCTCTCGTGCAGGCCAACAGCTGCAGCCGCGTCGATTCACTGTCCACTCCATGGCATTCCCATCCGTCTCGCTGGCTGTGAGGCACACACAACCATGGGGAGAGAGAGCCACACAGGAGCGCCGCATCAAGGGAGGGTTAGATAAAGTAGCAGTGGAGTCGAGTTGCGGAGGCAAGGGCAACAGACACGACACTTGCCTCTGCGCGGCGACGCCCTACGAATCACCCGCCCCCAGCAAGGCCCCCCTGCCACGTACCACGCTCCGTTTACCGCTCTTCCACTCCTGCGCCGTCTTGCTCCTTCGGGATGTCTCTTGAGTGAGGCAGCAATGGCAGGCCCGTCCGTTCCACGTCCACTCCACACCACTCCGCGTCCACTCCACACCACTCCGCGTCCACTCCACACCACTCCGCGTCCACTCCACACCACTCCGCGTCCACTCCACACCACACCGCGTCCACTCCACACCTCTCCGCGTCCACTCCACACCACTCCGCGTCCACTCCACACCACTCCGCGTCCACTCCATCATACTCCGCGTCAACACTGTGCCATTCCCCTCCACCTCGCAGGTCGTAAGGCGCACACACGCACGGGGAGAACGAGACAGCCAAAAACAGATGCAGCGATTTAAGGGAAGGTTAGAAGGAGCAAAAAGCTAATGGTGGAGCAGCAAGCAACAGACACGACTCTTGCCTCTGCGCGGCGACGCCTACGACTCACTTCACGGTCCCCCTGCAAGCACCTCTCCGTGCACGTACCACGCTCCGCGTCCACTCCGCGCCATTCCGCGTCCACTCCGCGCCATTCCGCGTCCACTCCGCGCCATTCCGCGTCCACTCCGCGCCATTCCGCGTCCACTCCGCGCCATTCCGCGTCCACTCCGCGCCATTCCGCGTCCACTCCGCGCCATTCCGCGTCCACTCCGCGCCATTCCGCGTCCACTCCGCGCCATTCCGCGTCCACTCCGCGCCATTCCGCGTCCACTCCGCGCCATTCCGCGTCCACTCCGCGCCATTCCGCGTCCACTCCGCGCCATTCCGCGTCCACTCCGCGCCATTCCGCGTCCACTCCGCGCCATTCCGCGTCCACTCCGCGCCATTCCGCGTCCACTCCGCGCCATTTCGCTTCTGCTGTCTCTCGTGCGCGCCAGCAACGGCCACCGCGTCGATTCTCCGTCCACGCCGTGCCACTCCCGTCCGTCTCGAAGGCCATGAGGCACACACACGCACGGGGAGAGAGATAGCCACACAGAAGCAGTGGAAATAAGGGGGGGTTACAAGCAGTAGAAATCGAGTAGCGGAGGCCAAAGCTACAGACACGACTCTTGCCTCTGCGCGGCGACACCCTACGACTCACTTCACGGCCCCCCTATAGGCACCCCTTGGCACGTACCACTCCCAGTCCACCTCCTATGCCACGCCTTCGCTTCAGGCGTACTGCTCAAGGTTGTCTCTCGTGCGAGCGCACAACGGCAGCCGCGTCGATTCCCCGTCCACTTCCTGTCATTCCCATCCAACTCGCGGGCATGAGGCACACACACGCACACGGGGAGAGGGACACGCACACAGAAGCAACGCAACCAGGGAGGGTTAGAAGCAGTAGAAGTCGAGTAGCGGAGGCCAAAGCAATAGACACGACTCTTGCCTCTGCGCGGCGACGCCCTACGACTCACTTCACGGCCACCCTGAAAGCACCTCCTGACACGTACCACGCTCCATTCGCCGCTCGCCGTGCCTTCAGTTGACGCGTGCTGCTCCAGGCCGCTCGGTTGCTGCTGCTGCAGTCGTTGCTCTCGTCGCGACCACCACCGCGTCTCTGCAATACTCGTGCGACGGCGGAAACAGCAGCTCCGTCGCTTTGACGGCGGAAAAATCAGCTCCGTCGCTTTGACGGCGGAAACAGCAGCTCCGTCGCTTTGACGGCGGAAACAGCAGCTCCGTCGCTTTGACGGCGGAAACGGCAGTAACGTTTATATTGCCGTGACGGTGATGATTCGATGGCGGAAGCAGCAGCGAAGTTGCTTTCCTAAACCACGGAAATTGCTGAGTCGTTTTGTTGACTGCGAAAACGGAAGTAACGTTGTTTTGTCGGCGGAAATGGCAGCGCCGTCGCTTTGGAGCCGGAAACGCCGGAAACGGCGGAAACGGCGGAAACAGCAGTAACTTTGTCTACAACAGTAACTTTTTGTCTACAGCGGAAGCAGTACTAGGGATGCCCTTTTCACCGCGGAAATGGCACCAAAGTTGCTGCTTCGACGGCGAAACCGCCAGCAGTGTTTCTTGGACGCCGAGAACGGCGACGGAGCTGTTCTGACGTCGCACCATAGGCCTTGTGGCGTAAAGCAGCAAATAGGTTGGCGTTATGGCGGAGAAAGTAGCTAAGCCTTGACGCCTATAGCACCGACGATGTTGGTTTCCTGGCGACAGTATAATCCCTTTTTAAGTCCGAATCCTAATCACCACGTTGACAACGTCCCGTTTGGTCTAGATCGGCAGACAGAGTCGAGGCTAATAAACTATAAGCGAGTGAACGAGGGGCCAGTGCGACCAGCAGCTGACATAGCTAGACATGGCTCAGGGCGGAGATAAGAAAAACAGCAGGCCTAGAGACAGCGCAAGCGGAGCTAAGCGACGAATGGAGGTGATGCCGTGGAGGAGCAACCAAGGGAACATGCTCCCGCAAGGTTTGGCTGAAAGGCGGGAAAACGGCTGAATTCCCCCGTCAACTTCCGTCCCATCCATACCACCCAGCAAGCCCAGTCCCTCGCCCATAAAACTTCAGCCATTTCATGCGAGTGAGGAGGTTCGGATCATAAGAGGGAGGCAATGATTGGCTGGCCGAAACGATCGCCAGATTAGTCAGAGCGTAGCGTTTGTGGTCGCTCGGCATTGGGAACAAGCATATAAACAAGGATTTCATTTAGACACTTTTAACAGGCTTCAAGAAGATTCCCCGTCGGCCAATTCATGGCCAGGCACTGTTACTTTGAAGACGATTTGGGAAGCAAAATTATCACTAGGCACGTCTTCCCATGCAATCTACCTTAGATGTGCTGCGATCAGAAGTTGATCGTAGCCCGGGATCTACCCAGGAAGGTTCGCACGCAGTGAAATAGTTGGTGGGCCCTTGACCTCAATAGCAGAGTGAATGTAAATGCTTGAGATGATTAAAACATGCAAAACAGAGAATATAAATATGAGTACAAGGGAACGTGAAACGACCTATCTAGCCATGTACTCTAAGGGGTACATTCCCTTATTCAAATTCACTCCCAACCGTGCGGCGCGTACAGTTTCGTAACTGTTCCCGCCAAAACCATCCTGCCTGCAGCTGCCCGATGCCGTCTGCTTCCGACGGTCCAGATGCGTTCCAACTGTCCGTCGCTTCGAGTCAATTCCAACCGTCTGACGGTTCGCGTTCATTCCCGTTACTGCGTGCTTCTCTTTGCTGCGGTGAGGAGTGCACAGTAATATCAAATGTTACTATTCGTAACACCCCCCTTCACTCCTGGCCGTAGCTCGACTTGACCTGCTTGACCACGCCGCTGAGTTCGGAGCAGTGCTGATACTGCTGGCGTGGCAGTCGCTTCGTGAGGAAGTCCGCTGCCATGTCACCCGTCGGGCAGTAGGTCAAGTTGACCTTGCCCTTGTGCTTGGTGCGGTTGACGAAACCAGGTTTGTTCGCGATACGAATCGCGCTCTGGTTGTCGCAGTGAAGGCGGAAGGTCGGCGAAGTCGGAATTTTCGCCTCTTGCAGGAGTTCCTGCAGATAGAGGCCCTCGCGAACTGCTGCGGTTGCTGCGATGAATTCCGCTTCGACGGATGACAGGGCAACCAATTCCTGCTTCTGTGAATTCCAGGAGATTGGTCCCGATGGCTCGAGTCGGAACAGGAAGCCGGTCCTGGACCGTCGATTGTCGGGGTCTGCTGCGTGATCGGCGTCCACGTAGCCGATGAGGTTGAAGGATGGAGTTGGTGCAGTTGAGTAGCACAGTCCAATCTTGGGCGTTGAAATGAAGAATTGAAGAGCCCGCTGTAGGTCCAGATGATTCTCGGCCGTTGGTTTGCGTGAGTACTGCGCCAGCTAACTGGCGATGTACGAGAGGTCTGGCCTGCAGGTGACAGAGGCGAAGAGGAGGCATCCCAACTGCTGCTGGTAAGTCTGAATCCCAGCAGGGGACAGGGCTTTGTTGTCAGGTTTGTGGTTCGGTCCGGGGGTGCGATAGGGAGTTGAGAGGGATGCCGGTGAGATGCTGAACCGCTTCCCTAACTCCTCTGCGTACTTAGCCGCTGAAAGGTGAATGGCCTCAGGAGCGTAGGAGATGTTGAGGCCCAGGAACTGCTTCACCTCGTAGTTGCACGTGATGTCGACGCGCCCCGCCAGGGCCTTCTCGAACTGCTCGAGAAGCTCGTTGTTTGATCCTGTGTAGAGCAGGTCGTCGATGTACACTGTGAGGAGAATGTATTCGCCGCGGAAATCGCGGCGGTACATTCCTGGATCGTGCGGCATCTGCTTGAACCCGATTTCAAGCAGAATGTTGTGCAGGTACTGCTGCCACAGCCTCGGAGCCTGCTTGATGCCGTAGAGGGATTTGCGCAGCTGACACACACGCGAATCCCCTTCGCCGTAGGTGTGTGGCTGCTCCACGTAGATCACGGCATCTACTAGTGCGTACAGGAACGCATTCTTCACGTCGATTTGACGGAGTGGCAGGTGCCTTGCAGCTGCGATGGCGAGCAGGATGCGGACGGAGGTGTGGCGGCTGACTATGGCAAATGTCTGGTCGAAGTCGATCCCATGCCTCTGGTCATAGCCGCGAACCACCCAGCGCGCCTTGAAGCGCTCGATCGTTCCATCCGCCGCGGTCTTCACGCGGAAGACCCACTTCCCCGAGAGAATTCTTGCGCCTTTGATTGCTGCGCGGTCGACGAGCACCCAGGTGTCGCGTGATTCCAGTGCCTTGATTTCCGCGTCCATTGCTTCGCGCCACTCCTTGCTGTGTGGTCCAGAGAGGGCCTCGCGCGGATTTCGGGGCTCGATGACGCGTGGCGCTTTCGAGGTTGCAGCGTGAAGTCCGAGCAGCTGCAGTCCCGAGACGGTGCTGTCGTGGCGATGTTGCGGGACGACTTCGACCACATCGTCGTCGTCGCTTTCAGGGTCAGGTGCTGGTGGTGTTGCACCTCCGCCGCTTCCGCCTGTTCCGTCCCCGCCTACTCCTCCTCCCGAGGAGTTATCGTCGTCATCATCGTCGCTGCTGCGACGATTCTCCCATGTGAATTCGCCCCTCGTGTCCTGCTCCAGAATTGCTGCAGCGGCTTCGTCTTCAGGCGTGGCGTAGATGTGGCCGTCGTTGGCGTAGACGCGATTCGCGTTCGTTTCTTGGTCGCGGCGGAACTGGTCGAGGAAGAGTCGCTCGTAGAAGATTATGTCGCGGGCATGGACGGTCTTCTGGCTGAGGAGGTCCAGCACGGTCCACGCCTTGTATTCGTGGCTGATGCCGAGGTGAATTCCCCAGCGCGCGCGGCTGGTAAACTTGCCGATGGTCGAGGTTGGCGGGCGGTACTGCACCATGCACCCCCACACGCGGAGCATGGAGGTGTCCCCCTTGGTTCCTGTCCACTTGACGTGCGGGGACAGGTTGCCAGTTATCGCAGTGGTCGAAAGGAGGTTGTGCACCCGCACGGCGTGGTGCATCGCGTAAGTCCAGTAGATCGGCGGCAATTTCGACTGCTTCATCAGCGCGCGCACCTTCGTCATTAGTGTGCGGTTCGTCCGCTCAGCTACGCCCTGCTGTTGGTGTGCGTAGGGGAGAGAGATGTGGTGCTCGATCCCCTTTTGCGCCAGGAAGGTCTGCATCTGGTTGCTCCTGAACTCTGCCGCGCCGTCGGACTGCCAAATCTTGAGCTTCTTCCCAGATTGCCGCTCCGCGTGCGGCAGCCAGAGGCGAAATACCTCGTAGGCTCTGTCGCGCGACTCCACATTCACGACCCACACATAGCGTGTTCCAGCGTCAATGAAGGTGAGCGTGTATAGCTCATCCTCGACTCCGCAATGCCCCACGTTCAGGAAATCGCTGTACACCTTGTGCAGCTTGGGGTAGCGGTTGGTTCCAGGTTCGAGCAGCGGGAACGGTTGGTGACTCAGCGCAGCTTCGGGGCAGACGGTGCAGTTGCGCGGATGTGTCGCGCCGCTCACTTCGGAGCCATCAGGGC